AAATTAGGAACTTAGACCGATTCAACTACTTTTTTAGTAAGGCCAAGGTTGTTGTAGCTTTGGACATTCTCTTTACTGGGTATAGGCAACATTTTTATATAATTATAGCCTGTCAAAAGTGCAAATTGTTATGATGGTAGGCTTATAGTGGACTGAGCCTGAAGTGGCCATAACCTGGATGATACAATAGATCAAAAAGTTCATGCAAAACATTTCCTTTATCATCTTTCACTTATTCAACTTACCCAAAGCTTTAAAGATCTTGCTAAGTTCTCATTTAATTTCCTCCTAAGCTTTTTTCAATTTCTCAACATGTCTCGCATTATCTTGTTCCATTATTCTAACTTGAACTCGGGTATTGTACTTGTGATAACTTGGTTGAGCTATCCTTGAACATTAATTTTTCACAATTAGGGTGCAGATTTAGAGTGATGTTTATATAACCATCAAATTATGCATGAGACTGAATGTAAAAATGCATAAATGCAATAAAGATGATTTAATGATGTCAATGCATACATATACAATAAAAGAAAAAGGTTAGTAAAAAATTATATATACAAAGAATAATATATATAAAAAATAACATAAAGGGTTAGTACACAAATACAAAGAAAATATATAAATTTACATGCAAAATAAATGTCCCATTATATGTCTTATTTGAGATTTTCTAATATAAGGGAAGGCATGGTTCTAACCTAGATTTGGACCCTTAACTTAGGGTTTATTTACATGCTATGCTCAAAAATTTGATAATCTAAAGGTTCTAAAATTATTTTTTACATCATTGTCCATTATGGACTAATAACATACCAAAATCCTCACCCATTATAGGCTACAAGCGAAAATGGTTCAATTTGAGTAGGAGTTTTTTTTCTAGCCCATGCAGAAATATGAAATCTCACGAATGCATAGATACTTTACTCTCTCCTAAGGGATAGAACTCGGGTGTAAAGCTTATATTATACATGAGCAAATAAATGATAGATATATAAAATGAATAAATAAATAAAACAAATAAAATACAAACAAAAAAGAAAAAAATCTCAAATTTATTAGGTTAGGCTTTGATAGCAAGAAATTATTTACTGGCTTGACTCTTGATTTTTCTAATGGAGTTATCAAACTATCATAACGTATAGATCCGTGGACCTACTGTTAGACATGGATTAAAGGAGTCGCCACCATTCTTTTTTGTTTAAGTGTGATTGATCACCTGATTGAATCTGTCTTATTTAAAGAGGAATCTCAATATTGACTTAAATATCTTTAAATAATAGATTTTAGTCCATAAAATTAGATTTCAAATTCAAGAGTGTAGTTATGCGTGAAGAAGGTTATAGCACCCTCACAGCGCTCATCCAAAAAATGGTACCAGTTTGATTTCAAATTATTTAAACCTTAACCATATTTATGATTTATCAAAATATTTAATATGAAAAATTAATCTTAAAATTACTTTAATAGTTTGGTAGCAATTTAAAATAATTTTCTTACATCAGGAGTATTCATGGAGACTAGTATCTCACCTTAAAAAGACTTCGTTGTTGGATTCATTTAAATTTTAGTTAAAGATATAATTAGTAAAATTTTTCAATAGTTTGGTAAGATTTTCTTTGATGTAGATGTCTTAATAGTTTGGTAAGATTTTGTTATAAGATTATTTTTTTTAAAAATATATTAAATCTTCCAATAATTTGGTAAGATTTAATTTAAGATGTAAATCCTCAAATAGTTTGATAACATAAAATACAAAATATTTTATCAACAATAGATTTTTTTAAAAAAATCGATTTATGAGATTCTCCAATCTATTGACAAGGGTTTTTTTATTTATATATATTTTTGAAATAAATAAAATTATAGGGTTTTCCACTAGATTGGTAAAACCTTATTTTTTTTAAAAATAATTACCTTCCAATTTGTTGATAAGGTTTTTATTTAAATTTTTATTTTGTTATACAAAAATATATTTTTTAAGAATACTAAAAACAATAGACAAATAAATAAATGAATAAATAGGTAAATAAAATAACATATAAAGAAAAGTAAAATTACTTGTAGTTGGCTCGGCTTAATGGTTGAAGACGATGGTTACAAGCACAAATTAACTTGAGTAGCTTAAAACTTGGCATCCAGGGCAGCTTGGCTCAGTGCAGTAGATGGAGGAGTGGGTCAAAACTATGTTGCACTGAAGGTCAGGTCCAAAAAACTAAACTCATAAATCCTTACAATGCAAAATCCTACAGAAACTCAAACCTAAAAACATCAAATCCCAATTCTAAAAAATCTAACAAATCAAACCCATGACTTAAAATCTCTTTGTTGCTAAACAAATTTCTTTCTTTTCTTTCTAGAGTTTCTGTAGAATATTTTTCTCCCTTTTTTTTTTTTTTTTTCTCTCAAGAGTTTATATATATATATTTTGAATGATCTCCTTTGTGTGTGGTTTTTGTTTATTTATAAGGATTGAATCCCTATAATTTTGAAAAATAAATCAAATTGATTATGATTTTATTACGATTTTATAATCTTTGATTTTAAGTTTTTTTTTACATTATTTACATGAATCAATCCAAAATCACTTGTTTTCTAATTTCTCTCTCTTTTTTTTTTTTTTTTACTTTTTTTGAAAATAAATAAAATTAAATTAAATTAAATTAAAATTAAAAATTTTTTTATTAGACTCGAAACTTCATTTTTTATCTAAAAAAAATCTCAAACAAAATAAAATATCTACACCTAACATTGGTGTCCATGTGTTGAACAGTCAAATACATGTGTTTCAAAATTGTGACAATGCAATTGCATTAATGTAAACAAAAAATCTTGTCTCCATCACTTGGGATGAGATTACTCTTTTTTGGATCTTTGGATTTTTTTCTTTCGTAATGTAAATTCCTTCTTACTTGAATCTTGGCCACTTGGGGATGGACTATACATGGGTAGGGTTGTTAAAGAGAAATGTAAACTCCAAATATTTCACTTTTTACCAAAGGATTATATCTATTACACTAACGCTATGGATTTCACATTAAGATTTTGGATAGTAAAAAAAAACGAACAGCCTCAATAAATATGACTGGACAAGAAAAATCTGAAGTTAAGAATGATAATCTGGCCATTGTGTAATGGAAACACCAAAAATGGTCAATTTTTATTTGATTACTGATTCACTAGGGGATACCTGTCATGAACCCACAGCATTAATCGGGTTGATTGATTGGGTGAGGAAATTGTTAAAGAATATTATCTTTCCCAATATGACAATGACCGTCGTATGAACTTTCAAAACCAGAAACTAAATTGACATTTTTCTTATATTATATATATATATATAAATATATATATATATATTGTCCAATCACAGCATATGATATTTTAGCTTTCAATTGGAAACAAATCTGAAAATTGCTACACAACAAATAAGAAAAAAATATCGAGTGATCAATTGGCTCATCTATCCATTCAAGATGTTTCTCAGATTTTTTTACTGTTATTAGAAGAATCTAGGAGGAGTTTGTGGATGAGATGATGTCATGACTGCCAAGTATGAAGAGCTAGCTACCAAGTAAGGTAGACTGGATTTAGATGCAATTGCAAATGACTATTGCTCTATTGCTCAAAGGCTCAAACTTTGTTTTCTTTTTGTTTCTTCTGTCAACTTCAACCTTAACCCATGGCCAACATGGGCTCTCTCTTTCTTTGTAGAATTGTAGTTTGAAATAGATTACATTACATTACTTAAATATGCGTATGCAAAGGCCTGATTTCACCATTTCGTCTTCAATATTCAACACTTTGTTGCTTTATACAAATTACACAAGAAAAATATGTCCATTAAAAAACATGCCATACGAACTAGCTTATTAAGGTAAAATGAATTAGTAACATAAGTTTTTTACATACTAAATAAACTAGAATGTAAATGGCTAACATTTTTTGTAATGGCCTCAAGTAATAAAAAAAGAAAAAAAAACCAGAAAATAGAAAATGAAAAGAAGGCACTCAAAAAAAGTGAAAAGAAGGCCCGTACAAAAAGGAAATGATGAAGAGCCCAAACAAAGAATTTTGTATAGGGATCATATTTAGCTGGAAAAACATTATTTTTTGTTGGGGGGGTGGGGGGGAAGCAGTGCTGGAAACTTCACATTGAAAATGCCTTTTTAGTTGTTCTTTTGGATTCTGCAGAATTTTTTTTCTGTAATTGCTTACTCGGTTTTATGACATGCAGGGTAATACATCCTATCCTAGGAATGATGAAGGTCCTGCCTGAGCCCTTTTGCGTGATAATTACTTGCTAAGAAATCCTAAGTTGAAGGACTGGGATACAATGGCGGTGAGAAGGTTCATTCTTTTGAAAGTTACTGAAGTCATGTCCCTCTCTCACGGATACAGGCCTCAGATGCACACATGCATTCAAGTGCAGGCAGAGATTGCATGCATTTACCAATGAGATTTAAGACCACCTTTGCTTTGCGGAATGCTGAAACCCAAACCTTCCTGGATGCTATATCTGATGCTGTTAAGGATGGCGTTTTTCATTCCACACCATGAGGAAAGCATGTACTACAAAGGATGGTACTCAGCTGAAAACTCCATCAATTCTTCTTGCTTAGTTTTATCAGATGTATTCCCAGCAAGCATTGCCATGTTCCAATGCCAGAATATTTGAACTTGTTGATGGCTCTGAGTTCTGTTAAGATCTTCTAGGTCTCACTGGGATTCTTGTTTGGAAACACTTCAAAAGAACCACGAGTAACAGACGAATTCATTACATACGTTAGTGGCTAGCGCTTCATGTTCAAGACATTTTAACATGCTGGAATTTCCGGCAACCAGCAGGATCTTTCTCTTTCTGCTACTTATTTTACTAGTATAGAAACTAGAAAAGCCCACGCAGGCATTGAACAAAGGGCTTACATTTCAACCCAAGGCAACAGTCAAGAAAGTAGAACACCGCATATTCTAGTGACAAACCCATTCAAATTGCAGCAAAGGTAGAGTGGATATCTTTAAAATCTTTAAAATCTTTGAAGATGTTAAAATCTTTTTCACATTCAGTATATTGGTGATAAAAGAATAGTAGAATTTTTTTTTTTTTTTGTAATTTGTATAAGTTACACACAATTCCATGCTAAGATAAAAATATTACAACTGCATGTTTCTTGTCTGACCTAGAAACTGTTACTTGGGCAGGCATTAAAACTCTCAACTGCACATTCAGAGAAACTATGCTATACATGTCAATAGACCAAAAAGAAGAGCAAAATTTTGCATGCTTTTTGCTTGTCACTTGACAGTGCAAGTTGGGCTTCTTGCATTTCATTGGCAGCAGCTTTTATAGAAGCCCTGAGAACAGATGAAGGTATATAATTGTCAACATAACGAACACTGATATGCCTTGAAGGACCCATAAGCATTCTCCTTTCCGTACTAAAACAAGAATTGAGCAGGTGAACTTGCTCAAATGTAATATGGCAGGTGGAAACCGACAATTGGCTGCAGCAAACGTGATCTAGGGAGATCTTGCCAAATGATGTCGTGATCCATCAATCTTTTATGGCAATGGAGAACCAGGCCCTGGCAATTTATTCATTGGGATTTTTGCATCCAACTTCTGATAAAAACCTGAAGCCCTGAGATAGAACCATAGAGCCTGTCATTTAAATAGTTACAAAAAGTATGAGCATCAATTTCACCATTTTTAGGTAAGGACCAATTCTTTCCGACTAGCATATTGTGTTTCTTTCCTTTTTCCAAGCATGGTTAAAAAATCGTACTCTCAAAAGCTTCTGGTTTGGCTCAATGGATCATAATCATAGGCATCACCAGCTTTGACAAAGCGTCCCTTCACGCGCTTTCTCACATCAGCCCTTGCTTTGCGAGAGGCATATCTCACTTGCTTCTCGAACCTACCATCCAACAAGTACAAATTTAAACATATAAATTCCCTCAACATTTGGAATAATATACATACATACATATATATATATATGTATGTATGTATATATATATACATACATATATATATATATGAGGATTGCAAACAAGACTCGCTGTACAATAAAACTTTAAGACCTACAGTATCGATTTTATATTGACTTTCCAAATGGATTGTTGATGAATATACACAGATGCATATACAGGAATGCAAATTCACCATATCCTTACTAGACAGCACCACAGTGAAATGGACTCCTTCAATGGCAGGAATAGTAACTAAATTTCAGAGGTTACAGATTATGATACTGAAAAACAAGTAAGAACACAAATGTAAAAATGATATAGACATGATATATTTTTATTTGAAGGCATGGGAGTTCTTTTGCTTGGTCTTTTACAGAAGTACACACAACTAAATTGAAACTTAAAAGACAAATAGAGAAATTATACAAGAAGAAAAACTAGAAAGAACAAGAGACGAACAAGAACTCAAGGCATGATTGGCTACTTAGTAAACCATATTGTAAATCAATACCTATGGTACTAGAAATTCAGAACCAGAAGAGGAATTGAAAAGAAGAACATCTAAATTCCAGAAATTTGTAAAAAAAGAACTAAAACCACAAATTCATCACCCTATTAACTATATCGAAAGGACAAAGCAGGTCTAAGTGGAACACATATATGCACATTTTTATATGGGTTATTGGCATATACTTACTTCCGTGTCTTCTTCTTTTCCTTGTAACGCATGACAGCATTGCTTCGAGTTGCTGATGGGAAGGAGCTCTCAGTACAAGGAGGACACCAAGAAGGCTCCCCCACGAGAAGCATTGAAGAAGCCCCACAATCTTGGATATCTCCAGCACTACTCTCTCCAGTAAGGCCAGAAAATGAGAGGCTTGAATGCGCCTTCCTTGCGGTAAAATACAGAATTGAATCAGTTTTATTGCTCATCATGGAATCAACAGATGCTGCATTGCTACATGTTGGATGAATTGCATTGACCAGTCCAACAGATGAGCCCTGGACAAGAATAGTTAGTTTCAACCGTAAGAATATTTGCCAAGTACAAACTTGAAATTCTCAGGGGTTGGAATAAGTAATGGTTCTTTACAGTATGACTCTTAAGGGAGATAAAACAAACGTTTAATATCCAAGTAGATTGAAGTGCCAATATTAGTAAGCAAACTGTTGAGACATACATAATTTACAAGAAAAAAGTTGATTTGTTAACAATCCAGAAGGCACCAAAAGATCACGTACTAGTATATTTGCAAACTTGACGAAGAATCCTTAATCATCACCAATACTGACTATATAATCAGCACTGTTAAAAGAGGGATCATGCCTGATAATCGATGTTATTGTTTTCCTATAGATACTACCAACACAAGTGAAAAGGGATATTTTCCTTTGAACACTATTCAAAATGAAGATCCAGCACATGGATGGACAGGAAACTTTGTTTCAGTACATCAGTCATGTCTGTAAATCAAGGTTATTAATGCTATTGGTACCCAATGAAAATAAATAATTGTTTTTCATCAAATTAAAGCTTCTCAGTACTGTATCAATTTTTTTCTCTATTTTAATTTGCAAGGAATCTTCCATTTTCGCATTTAGAAAAAACTGATTGCCAAAATATGCTATAGGTCATAAATACTACTAAGAACACCAGGAAAAAGCATAACACCTAGAAAAATGACAACACTATCATCAGAAAAAGATAATACAGAAACCACAAAGCAAGATCAAAAGAGATGAGAGAACCTCAGCAGCCACAGCACCCTGACAGTTTGAATCAGCAGCAGGCATATCCTTTGACTCAAATAAGCTATCAATTCCACCATTCTCAAAAAGTTCTTCTGAATGATTGAGAGTTACCCCAAAGAGTTCTTCATAGTTTTCAAGGTTCAAATCAACTTCATCCATGTTGAAGTCATCGTAGAGATCATCTTCAGAAAGTCCAGGATACTTCGTTTGAGGGCAATATAACTGCACATTATTAAAGTAAAAATTAGCAAAGGTTCCCAAAAAGGAACATATTATCTCTACTAACAGTTAAAGGAAACCAGCAGAAATTTTCAATAATGAAGTTTTCACAAATGTCAAAAATGAACTTAGACCGCCTAATGATAAAACTCTATAGAATTATTAATAACGGAAGGCTACTCTAATCATTCTTCTTATGATTAAAATAAAATTTTGTTAACTTCCAACAATCACCTCAACCAACTTTCCCCATTTTTTTGTGTCCATCGTTTTCACACTCCCCTTTTCCCTCTCAATTAAAAATAAAAATATAAAACTTCAATCATGTCGATGGATGGCATGAGCCTAGAGTCCAGAAAGTAAATCATGCGTGTAAAATAGGAGAGATGTGGATTTCAAATTTATGAACCCATGGCAAAAATAGGCATAAAGTGCCTCCAAATTATAATTAAGGACAAGGTTACTAATTTAGTAATTATACTGTCCAGACTTAACTGAATAGTTCTCTATAACATTACCCTATAACTTAAGTTGCTTTTGGGCCAAGAAATGGAAATATCTAAAGAGACCTGTAAAATACAAGCTGAATACAAGTTCATGGTATACTGTAGGTTTACTGAAAGTTTGACATCTTTTACACTTACATAAAAACCCAATCAAGTTCAAGTAAAAAAGATATTATGGATGGGCCTTTGATTTCCATCATAAAGTATAATCAAGAAAAGCAAGGGACACAAATTGGCATATAGTTCTTCTGCAGAAGGAATTAATCTGAAAAGAAAGTTGTCACTTTAACCTCAAGCAGGTTTTCTGGCCAGAAAGACCAGTTATCACTGAATACTCACTGTTAATATGTTTTTCAGCATTAAGCATTAAGTGAAGATTGCAGAACACATTTGCAAATATAAACCCACTTTCTTTGAATGCTTATAACAGTCCTTTAGTATTGCCACACGAAACTCAGATACCAAGGACCTGAAAGTACCTCAAGACCATTTTACCTAATTTCTTTAATGATAAATATACCAAATTCATCATTTACCTTGGGCAATGATGTATCTGTTGAGCCAGCTGGCCGATCCAGAAGCCTTGCAGATCTGAGTTCAGGAATTGAAGAAGACCCACCCCAGCCACTTCCACCATCTGCGTTGTGGTCATCATCAACTTCAGCCACACCAGTACTATTCTGGCTAATGGTGTTTTCTATAGGGCCCCAGGAAGTCCTCCCCATGTTCTCACTGATGCTCATTAGACCTAATTCCTGCTCACAAGTTGATTCACCAGCTGAAGGGGATTGCAGAAAAAAAGGCCATATGGAAGAAAGTTCCGCAGCTGATGGGCAACCAGAGTAACAATTAATTGTTTGCCTCTTATGAGTCAAATTCAAGGTAGAGGTACCATGACCCATCCAATCACAGTTCTGACAGAGGGAAGCCCTTTCTTCAGCACATCTAACAAAAGCAGGTTGGGAATTACATCTGTCACATAACAATGTTCTTGAATGGCGTTTTGACAGTGCATTAGCAGAATGGACATTTCGATCACATGACAAACACAAACAGGCAGCATCAGACCGGCAATATACCACTGGCCTTTGATCCCCACAGAAATCACAATTGTAACCCATGTTTACAATCACACTACTCCTAACCAAAACCTAAGACTTTTCTCCAAAATTTAAAGGCTTCTAAGCAAACAAAATATCAACCAGGGCAAGTAGCTTCCAAGATGATACCCGACTCTGCCATTTCTTCTTGCACTTCAATAGCTGTCACATAGAGGGGGAGAAAAGAGATATTGCTGTTACAAGTGAATTCAGTTCATTTTGTTGTAAAAGCAAGCCAAAAGAAAATTGGAATATCTACTGACTATACAGGGTAGCTTAATTTACTTAAAATTTTCTCATACAATTACGATACAGCACAGAGTCAAATTCTAGAAGACACTAATCATGGAAGAGTTCGTATGATCAGCACTGTTAAAGAGTAAAAGTCTATTTTTTTTTTATAATCACAGCCAAACAATAAACAGTTTTAAGCACCCAGAAGCAAACAGAAAACAAAAAATCATAGTCAACAAGAGAATAAGTAAATGTGAAAAACACACACACGCACTCACAACAGAATGAGTAGTAGAGAAGAAATACCTCATTCAATTTTAAAGAGTCATCCATGATGACTAAAGCAGTCAAAATAAAATAGAGAAAAAATGAAAAAAGAAATAACTTTTTTCTTTTAATAGAAAGCAAAAAGCAGGGGAGTAAGCATTCCAAGAACAGAATTATAAGCAAAATTAATTCCATTTCAAAACATGTAAAATAAAAGAATCAAATATCCAAAAAAGGAACAAATTTTACCATAAATAAAAAATTAGAACATTAACCCAAAGAATTAAACTACAAAATCAAACAAAGTTACAGAAACAAACAGATTAAGCAAAAAAAAAAAAAAAAACAGAGGATCAATAAACAAATCAAGAGACCCAGAAATACTAAACAAAAAAAAAAAGTAAATCTAAAACCGAGAAATAAAATCAAAATTAAATGAAGGAAAAAGGACCCAGAAAGGACAATCAAATTAAGAACCAAAATAAAAGAGAATGAAGAAATTTACCGAGAGAAAAAGGAAAAAAGAAGAGGACAAGATCGCCTACTAGCTTTAATATTGAAAAATGGAAAATTTATTGAAAAATAAATAAACAAGAAACCCTAGAACAAGGAGCTTTCCAGAATTCCTCTGCTATGAGTTTATGCACGCTAGAGATAGAAATTGGTGGATGTACATGGGAAATGAGATGACATAAGCTGATAAAAAGTGTAAGAGAGAGAAAATTAAATAATAAAAAATTGAGAAAATTTCAAATTAGAAAATATAATAAGTAAATAAAAATAAACAAGAAGGGCAAAATGGGAGAGTAAAGAAAAGTGGGGCCCTGTCCATTTCAATAAAGTTAGGCCCGTCCTTTTCTTGGTCCCTATGACGAAAGCTTCCAATTGCATACTGTCGAAGAAAAAAATATTTTAAATAATTTTTATATCGTTAATTTAATTATATTTATAATATTATTTTATTTTTATTTTACATATTTAATATATTTTAAATAAATTTTAATTTTGTACATAAATAAATTCCAAACAATCTCTTTCTTTAGAAAGGTCTCGTTTTCTGCTTGTGGATGAGGCAACTACTGCTTCAAAGCCAATTAAACAACAAAACAAAAAGTGAAGGAAAAGATATGCTTCAAATTCTTATAAGACTTGAGGTTGAGGTTAAGGAAGGATTTTGGTTTTAAATATAGTAATCTATTATGACTTTATCCTTTTGTCACTTCACTCTTTATGGTTTAATTTTATAATAAAAGTGTCACATTCAATTGGACCCAAAAAAAAAATGTCACATTCATTCATTCCTAGGTTCTCTTTAGTTATTAATTCTAAGATATTATAAAAATTACAAAATTCACCAAATCAAAAAAAAAATTGCAATGATTGGTAATCAACAAGAAATGGGTTCCTTCATTTTTTTAAAATTTTTTAATTTATAAAAAGAAATTTTGAATTCAATTTTTTAATAAAATTATATATATCATTATCATTAGATCAAATATTTGGATGTAAAATCGAACATTAAAAGAATATTCTACTCAAAGCTAAGCAAGGCAAAGCATTTTAAAAGAAAACAAGGGGAAAATATTAAATGTAATTAATTCGTGTTAACTGTTCTTAAATTAAAGGTAAGTACGGATAAGCAGCAATGCCTATTTATTGAGATAAGGCATACTTAACTGAGCAAGTTGTTGCATCCAGAAGAGACACGTGAGATTCAACCGCACAAAAGTGCTTCACTTTTTTCTATTTTTTAATCCAAATACCCAAACTGTCCTTCTCACTATTATATTTTATATTAGATATAATTTTATACACTATATAAATAATTTTAATATAAATATAATAAAAATATACTAATAATATAAATATGATATTTTTATTATATGTATTATATGTGATATAATATAATTAAAATTAATTTATATTGATATGAAATAATATGATTAATACGATTATATATAAATAATATGATTAATTTATTTATTTAAATAAAAATATTTAAAAATTAAAATATTTAAAATATATTTAACATCAAAATATGATAAATATGATTATTAATTTATTTATAAATTTTTTATATTATAAATAATATTATATTTTAAATATATAATTATTATTTGATATAAATATAATATAAATAATATCATATTTTGCTTGTATCAATATAATTAAAATATAAAATATGATTATAATAAATATATATAATTATTTTATTTTATTTTAATATATATCATATATATATATATATATATAAAAATTATCGCATTACGGATAGTCACCTCACAAATATCCCTTTTCCCTAAATTATATTCCATAATAATTTATTGTGCACTTTTTCATCTGTAAATAGGCAAATGTTGACCAAACAGCCGCAGGACAACTGGAGGCTTCACACCTACCCACCGCCAACAACCAAACCTCAAAGCTGAAGAATCCAAGTTACCCAGAGAGTCAGCTTTTGATTCAAGCTGTTAACAAGAATATGAATGAAACAGTCTTTTCCGGTAAGTACATGCTTAACAACACCAAGTACTCTCTTTTCCAGTAAATTCCAATCCACCTTTTCCAAGATGATAAAAGAAAAAAAAAAAAAAGCTCAAAATCACACTATTACTTATATACGAGAGAAGTACTTTTTTTCCTTTTTTCTTTTTTAGTTTAGATTACACAAAATGGATTACAAAAATATGGGAATCGTCAAATTTCGAAAGTCATAACATGTTGCCTTAGGAGCACAAGAAAGATAAGGGAGATCTTCATCTTTATCTTATTGTCAATATGATGTTTTAGCATCAAGTGAAGTTGACTCCTGAAAAAAGAGAGCTTTGTGTGAAAGAAACAGCTTATCCTCCTGTTTAAACCTATGACAGGTCAGAAAACCTTTTTCAAGGGGTAGATTTTATCTCTCCTTTTGTCTCAAACAAAATTAAATTCTGGTAATAATTATGATGGCGGTACAGGCAAAGCTGAAGTTGGTGGAGTAGCTCGCAAGAGCCTCTGCGCTTATGACAGAGGCTGTGGCTTTCAAAGGTTTTCTCTTTGGCAAAGACAAAGAGATATAATAAGGTGGATATTGAATTCATGAAGCTTGAGGCCAATCAGAATGCAGACGAAAAAAAATATGGATGAACAAATTTTGAGATTTCCTGTTATTTCAAATCATGTATTCGCCTTGGAAAATCTAGACTGCTAAATCAATGTAACAGCTGCACATGGCAGTCGAAAAATAATCCACGCCTATAACTGGCAAGAGTTTTGTATATACGGAAACAAAGTTTGCCACGATACTTTATATGACCAACAAAGTTAAGTTCACATTAAAGAGTAAAGACACTTTTAATTACCCTGAAAAATACATTCAATATCCTGCAATGGCCTAAATGGTCCAGCATATATAAATCGGGGGTCCTAGCATTTACAATTTCAAACAAGAATGAGGCGGACACTTCAACAACCACATTTTATTTCGCGTTTGGGAACTTTTTCTTTTTCAAAGGAAGATAAGCTAACCTCTTAAGCAGGGCAAGGCTCCCCTTCAGTTGTGAAAAATACATCATGATGAATTTAAAATTTAATTTAATTAATTTATATAATTATCTTTAAATGTAATAATTAATTAATTTGAGTTTCAAACTTCAACCCTTATAATTTTTTTTTTTAATTCATGAGCTGAAATTTTCTTGTTAAAAAAAACTGTCCAAACTGTAGTTTCTCGAACCAACAAGCTGATTCCTTCAGTAGGCGAGGCTTAGCTCTTGAATTTCTGTACTTCGTTAATCCTCAACCATCAGTAATATGAAAAGATGAAAAGATTTTAACCTGCAATTAATGAGACAGCTTTTAAGGATTTATCGAGTTCATTTCACTTCAAAGTCATTACATTCACACAAAGATGGCTGCTTTAGGGTGTTCTAGTACAAATATTTACGCAACCAAAAAAAATTGTTCCACAAATTTGAGAAAGAAATCTAATCTACCATTTACTCAAACGAGCAACAGAGAGACAACTCCAACAAAAATTTGGCTTGTTGAAAAAAAATGATCTACCTTTTAGGCAGTACAATTCCTACCATATCCTACAAATATAGGAATGTTAGGATGGATATTCATTGGATATGTTCTGTTAATTTCAAATGAAATTATTAACATTAAGTTAATTAAATTAAATTATTTTTTTCATTAATTGAATAAAATTTTTTAATTTTAAACATTAATCAATTAAAACTAATTCACTTAATTCAATTTTTTTAATTAACCAAATAATAAAATATATTAAATTATATTATATTTTAAATTACTAATTTCATATATTTAAAATAAATTAAATAAAATCATCCACAAAATATTTAAATATCAAAATATTAATTTAAAAACTTTAATTACTTCAAATGAAACAATCTCATATATTTTTAATTTTAATAATAATTTTATTATATTTTGATTAATTTAATTAATTCGATTTTTGAATCAAATTAATCAAAAAAATCAAAATTTCTCTAAAATAATTTTCAATAACCAACCAAATTCAATTCGATGATTAACCTATTAATCAAATAAAATCAGTTCAGTCGATTAAACCCAAATTTTGAACACACCTAGGTAATATGATCAAGATTTTAAGCACTGCACTTTCTATCACATGACATTTAACCTGTCAAAATACAAAAACATGGGCCTCAGTTTTTACTACTAGATGCACCCATTGATAGGTTATAAACCTAAGCTTCTGCTTCCTGCAAGAACTTAGCATTTAACCATAGAATGCACGCCATGCTTCTCCACCACCACTAGCTGACTTTGCTGTTGGAATCCAATTAGTTTTAGTTTGTTCTCTCTGGAAGTATGTATCAGTGGTGCTTGCCACAAGCTGTCCTATCTCATAGACGATCTGCAAAATCAATTCCCAAAATCAGCTAACATATGTAAGAGCCAGGAAAAAAAATGAAATCCATTATCAAGCAATGCATCATTCCCTTTCAGAGTAAGAATCAGTGTGAATATGCTTTTGCAAATCATTCCTGGCTTATTCCATTTAAGTTATATTCACATTTGCTTAAAATTTCCAAAGAACGAATACCTCTAGGTCCTCGCTTAAAGCTTGATTAAATGGGCTTTGGCTTCTTTGCCCAACTATAATAAAAGTCGGCAAGTTTGAAGTGCGGACCAGCTGAAGAAAGCAGGCTAAAGGCTCAAAATGAATTTGCAAAGATGGAGGTGGCTTCTGGGTTTTCGCAGCAATGGCTCGACTTACATCAGTCTCTGGGCCTACTTGAATACCATAAAGAGGAAGCTTCGTGCTATTTGTTGTCAACAATCCACCTTCCAACTTAAGCTTTGATGCTGGCACAAGAAAAGGGGCTATGATAGTAGGTACAGTAGATGATATGCTCTCCGCATCTGCAATTTTAGCCAGAACTGAATTTATAGCATGTGAAAGCACTGGTGGATCCAAATGATGTAGCATCACCATTGTTGCCTGAAATTGAGTAAAAGGAAAGATAAAATTCCATAAATATGTAATTCAAGTCATCTTTCAATTTATTGCTCATAAAACCTAAATGTTCAAGAAGCACATGAAAACAATCTAGTGATATTTCAATAGTTCAGTGGATTGATACACCCATACTTGAAAACAAATGGCCTTAATCCTTTTCTCACAAGGACAATCTTTCTCAAGGATGATTGTTTCACCACTAAGATTGCCAGATACACAACACCATATTTCACAAGTATTTGACAAGAATAAGGCTTAAAAAGAAAAGCATTCCAGCTACTATTCGAAACTATTGCAGACACTGAGATACATGCCTTATCATCCCGTCATTCATACTCATCAAATCTATCCTCAGTTTAGATTATGTCTCTTATGCTGCAAGTCCTTAAATCACATTCTTCATCCCCGGCCAACTACAGCTCTATGTTTTTCCTTCCTATTTCTTTCGAGTCCAGAACATAACAATTGAATATGCATCCATTGGTAACCATGAAAACCATCCATCAGGCAAGATCAAAACGTTTTCTAAATTAATCCCCAAGGGAACACTCCAAAGGTTAGAACTTAAAAATTTTTAACTAAAAAATCTCATGTTCGAATATTGGAGATGGCGTCGGTTCACTAGTGGAAGAGGGTTCCCTCTGGCTCTTTTTAATGAGCTTTTTAGGTACCCTAAAAAAATCCTTTTAAATTATGTCAAGCATGAAAGATATAGCTAAAAACATCTCAAAGAGTCCTTTTTCCTCTTATTTTTACCAGGAAACACACCCTAAAACACACATCTCAAGGAGTCCTTTTTTCCTCTTATTCCTCGTTTATAATCAAATCCACGATCAAACCCACAACATTACATTACATTCAACAAGGAAAAATAATTTTAAAAAAATGGGTTTTAAAATTAATGGCAAAAGAAGGGAACCCTTCAAAAGAAATGATACCTTCACATAGTCTTTATCTCTCAATTGAGTGACAGAGCCAGTCAAATCTAGATATCGGGGGTCGCATTCCCTTAATCCCAGGGGAAGTAACTCTAAGCTGAAAACAAAGAAACCAGCTTTCTTAATCTGGGTTTTCAATAATAATTAACCAGAGAGAGAGGGGGTACTCACACTTTACTATAAGGGTGGGGGTTAGGGCTGAGACCTTGCGCTATGGCGTTTCCGAACCCATCTTCGTCGTGATAAATGAAGAACACATTCGAAGCTACCTTCATTCTCCATAGATTTCTACTTTGGCTTTCGTCGCTGTTCTGGAGTGAGAGTGATTCAAGATTTTCCTCTAGATCCATGGAGGCAGTACGGCACTCGATGATGATTATGTGGGAGAACAATACTCTGCATTTTTATGAGGGTTTCCTTGGAGAACAATACAAAGTAGAAATAAAGAAAATAAAGAAAAGAATTGCGGAAATGTTTTCTATTATCCCTCCATATTTCTTTCTATTCAATTTAAGCCTTAAAATTTCAAATTGTTTAATTGGATCCCTGCATAATTGTAATACTGATATTTGTTTAGTCTTATTTTGGCCTAATAAATTAACTTATTAGAGCCAATGATTAATGAATTTGACCTCTTTTTCCCTCAATTAAGTAAAATAACTTGTTTTTCCATTTTCTCTCGAATCCATTATGTTCAATGTTAGACAATTTCCCCTTTTTTTAAGAAATTGACAAATTATCCCAATTAACACAAGGAAAAAAAAATTGGATTTAGTAGTATATAAGTAAATACTCTTGAAACTTTTAACTTCCAGCTCTGAGTTAGATTTGTATATGTCATGTTACTTTATTTTATCGATTCATTATCTTCTATCTTATATATAATATTTATCATTAATTACTTCATCAAGTGATTAAGTAAGCCTTAAGAAGATATAAGATTTGAAGTTCGATCTTAACTTTATCTCTTCTCTTGTTATAGGTCTCTACCCCTTAAAATAAAAATAAAAAAATATATATAATATTCATGTCATATATTGTTTAATTATGATTATAATTTCTCATATATATGAATTTTATCTCATATATAATATTTATATCATATATATGAGAATTGTTATTTAATTATGATTATAATTTTTATCTAAAATTGTAATTTTATAAAAAAAATTAATAAAAAGGATAAATATTATACATGGTTAGGCATATAAAAATATTGGTTTTGCTGCGAGAGTATAATAAAATTATATATTAATTCAACATTGATCAATAAAAAGAGAAAATGAGTAGTATATATATATTTATTCTTTTAAAAGAAATTATTAATTATTATTTTTATATTAAAATAATTATAAATATATTCAAAACAATAAGAAACTGCCAAATACTAGTCCATCCAGTGTAACAGGGGTTAATTCTAATAAATTTAAATGAATTAAATAATAAAAACAGCAATAACCTTCACCTTCCTATTCAGAGCATCATAAACCTCTTATATGTCCCTCTACCGCTACTCCATAACCAGAATAAACAAAAACACAACCTTTTCCTATCTTATATTTGGCGTCTTTTGCTGTATAAGGCCATCCCTCACCTCTCACCCTTTTCCATCTTCCTGTCTTTACAAATTCACTGAAAAAACAACAAAGAATTCGACAATGGCTACAATACCATGGTGCTTCACAATGGCCCTTTTCATGGTCATTCTCCTGGCAATTCCTAATGCCAGTTTGGCTAAGATGAATGTGATTGATAAATGCTGGAGAGAGAATCCTCTTTGGCGGAGTCACCGGCAACAGCTGGCCAAGTGCTCTGTTGGTTTTGCTGGCAAAATGACCAACAACACTGGTAAAGGTGTTGTACGCTATATGGTCACCGATCCTTCTGATGACCCTCTAAATCCTAAGACAGGGACCCTTCGTCATGGAGTCACCATGATCAAGGGAAAAGTATGGATCACTTTCAAAAGGAACATGCATGTCACACTCCAAAGGCCGCTTCTCATTAGCAGCTTCACCGCCATTGATGGCCGTGGTGTTGACGTTCATATTACAGGCGCAGGTTGCCTCTTGGTGTATCAGGCGACAGATGTAATCATCCATGGGTTGCGCATCCGCCATTGCAAGTCCCAGCCACCTAGCTCTGTGATGGGTCCAGATTCAAAGGTGATACCCCTTGGTCAGATGGATGGGGATGCCATCAGATTGGTCACCGCAAGGAAAGTGTGGATAGATCACAATACGTTGTATGAGTGCCAAGATGGTCTCCTTGATGTCACTCGTGGCTCGACCGAGGTTACCATCTCTAACAATTGGTTCAGAAATCAGGACAAAGTTATGCTTCTTGGGCATGATGATGGCCATTTAAGAGACAGGAATATGAAGGCCACTGTCATATTTAACCATTTTGGACCTAATTGCAACCAACGAATGCCTAGGTATTAATTAATTAAGCTCCAAGTTTTAATTTCAAGTATCTCTCGATGAACTAATATTATAAGTAATAAATTACATATTTACATAAATATGAAACTCAACTCATTATTTAAAAATGACATCAAATATCCGTATTTACAACTCATTCCCTTATTTTATACCTAACTTCTTTTATACAAAAAAAAAAAAAATTACGTATTTACATCAATCATCTGATTTTTCTATTAACTACATTCCAGGGTCCGCCATGGGTACGTGCATGTAGCCAACAATCTCTACCAGGGATGGGAACAATATGCCATCGGTGGAAGCATGAGCCCCAGCATCAAGAGTGAATGCAACTTTTTCATTGCTCCAAAATTGGGCAATAAGGAGGTAAATATCACCACTGGTATTAAGTCTTGCTTTCTGTGTGAAATATTTCGCTCAGAATTTGAATTAATGGCTGACCCTGAATCCAAATTACGTTTAAATAGGTAACATGGAGACAAGGCAACGAGGCAGACAAAGCTTCATGGAAATTCTATTCTGTGGGGGATATTTTCGAAAATGGAGCATCTTTCAGTAAGCAAACAGGACTAGGTGGGGCGAAGCCACTTTATAACCAGGAACAGAGCTTTAAGGTTGCCGATGCTACATCAGTTAAAGAATTGACAAGTTCATCAGGTGTTTTACAATGCTCTAGGACTTTGAGATGCTAAGTCCAAAGCTTTTAATGCTACACAATAAATTCATTGTTCAATAATTACTTGTACCAATTCGTTTTTATTTGGCTCAAAGGAACAAAGAAATCACCCAGATTTATGCTCGACGGCAAATATATTTGGGGAATTAGCCTTTTAAGAATGAGGTGAATAGACTTTTTTTTTTGGTCTCATAATCCCATAATATTTAATTTCTCAAGTTGCCAAATTGGAATTTTATAATTAAAATTAAATTTCAAATTTTAATCATTAAAATGTAATTAACATAATAATTAATATAATTCATAACCTTTTATGAAAATTTCAGTTCAATATTGAAAAACAGAAATTTTTATTTTTTCATTTTGAGGGTCATTTTTTATTTTATTACTAGCAAGTTACCGAGCTTCACATCGGGTTAAGATAATAATAAAATTAATAATAAATATATGTATTAATCTATAAGTTCAACCATGTGTAAGGTGAATGCACTCAATCAAAATCAAAGAACAATGATAATTTCTTCCAACTATATAAAACGGAAGGCTGGGTTTAACAAAGTGCAGAAAAGCACTCACATAAATCCAGTAAGTAGACAGAGAAACGTATTAAACTGCAGCAATAGTTTCTGCAGACTTTGCCTGGGATTCTGCCAAAACTTCTGCCTCTCAGAAGGTAGTGTTCTTTCTGGTCTTTGAAACAATTTGTAGATCTGATCAAGCTGGATATTGCCCTTTACAGTCAGCTCCTTGAAATCTATTTCATATGATTCCACGCCTGAAAAGTGGTTTATGACAAAATATAGATATTAGTTATCAAACCAAACTCGAAAAAAAACAGCAATTGAATATGGATGTGGCATGTATATCTCCTGGTGAAAAGTGAAAACATAGATTTTGAGTAGAATTTTTCACTTAAATGTAAAAAAAAATGCTAATCCTTCACCAATTTACAAAAGAAACAGTGGAAAATATCTAGAATTATTATTCCACTGAAAAGAAAGATGATGAATGCAAAGTTTTAGGAAATTCTGAGCACCGAAGGTATTCAACACACTTTCCATTTTTCCGGGGACTCTCTTCATGGTTCCGACATTGTCTTGGAATGACATACTAACCTTGAAAACAACGGTATGCAAGCAACCAAAATGAATACACAACTGACATCATTATCGAAGAAAAACTTACAAAACTATATTCAACAACCATGAACTACAACAAAGCTAGGAGAAAACAAAGGATTGGATGTTTTCAAAATTTGAAATAGCTTATGCAAACCATTCATAGAAACTTGGTTTATCTTTGAAGACATGTAGAATTTCTATCTTTTCCTTAAAGCATAAAACCCAGTTCAGTATGAAAGGCAAATGCTCAACTCAATGAAAAACAAAAATAAAGCCTGAATTCAAGCAATAAAGGTGACAACTAATCTAGATTATCACCATTTAGAGACTTTTTGATTATGGAACATACTAAAATCATATGTATTAGATGTCCTAACTGCTTATCACGCCAAATTATCAATTATACCCTGAAATTTCAACTAAATATAAAAAATCAATAGTATTAAACATCCAACACATTTCATTTGGGTTCAAAGTTTAGGCCTACTCCCGTTGGAGTTAAATGATGGATCTATAGAAATAAGCACCACTAACTTTAGTGAGGAGGCTTAAATGGAAGCATTCCTTATCTTGAAACATTTCAATCACATTTTTAAAGTGACAATAGGATAATTCATTTCTTGTTAATTTACTCATCTTAAATGACCAAAAGGAACCAGATTCAATGCTAATTCATAAAATTTTTAATCATCCTATAGTAGTTGTACATGATTTATTAAGCAAGCCCGTTAAATATTAAAATATGTATTTAAGGATATTAAATCCTTATTAATAAGGTAAGAAGGACCTTACTATATACCAACCTACTGTTAAATTATGGACAATCAACAATCCCCAAAACTTCCATTTCCCATGTTTTTCTAGCTTGATAATTGCATGTACAATTAAGAAAATGAATAATTTCATTAATGGTAAATAAAGATAAGGAATGCTTCTTGGGTATGCATGATCATTTAAATTTGGTGTTTATTATTAAAGGAAAAAGCCAATGGAATCTACAAATCTAAAAATTAGATTAAACTCATTCAAGTTGTGAAAGGATAATTGGTCAAACAAATAACAATACTTCTTTACAAAAGAACAAATTGATGTTTTAAAAGAGCTAAAAATAACTTAAATGATAATTAAATGCATATCTTAAAACAATAATATCTTCATTTGAATTTCTCTTTTTTTTTTTTTGGGAGATTCTTGAGGAAATAGGTCATGTGGAACTTGGGTTCTTGTCCATTTATAAAAAGTCAGGTTTGCAAACAGCAATAATGACACTAACAATTAAACATATGTTCAAGAAGCAATGTTGCTACAAAACAAAGGAAAACCAATTTCCTCTCGCTCTTCATGAGGGTTGAAAGAGGGAAAAAGGGGAGTGGCAATGCCAGCAAACTCATTCAGTAATCAGTATGAAACAAATATGAAGTAACTTTAATACCATACCTTCAACTTACTTATAGCATGTAAACAATCATCCTCAGACACAGCTTCAGGATCATGTGTTCGTTTCTGACAAGGCATTTGCATAGTTCCTGCAGGTCAATCAAACCTCCATTAAAGGGCATAGTTGCCAAGCATATTTCAACAATTTGCACCCTTGTCTAGCCAATTACCAAAACCTCATCATAAGCACTCTAGTTAGTCTTGACATAACTTTTTTCATGCTAAGGTTAAAACTTTAAAATGGATAATATGAAATATCAAAAGACTCTAAAAAAATGTTTTACAGATTATGAATTCCTGTATCATATCGAAAATAAGATAAATTGATAAATTTTATAATTATAAAACTTTACACACAAAAATGATTCAATATTATCATAGTTACGTTTCATAAGCTATAAAACAAAAACATCTAGCTAATTAGAAAAATTACATTCAAAGAAAATGCTCTAAAACAAAAAACAGTTAAATAGATTAAAACATTTTTACAAAAAAAAAAAAAAAGAAAGTCATAAAGCTTAGAACTTTGGCCTAAATATATAAAATAAAATCAATTTAAGCTAAAAAAAAAATAAAAAATTTGAAAACAAAAGAAAATGCTCCATTATTTGAAGCTAGAGGATCCACTCTCACTCTGGCACACATTAAATGATAAAATAAATCATTAATTATAAGCCATATGAAAAATATAAATATTTGAAATAAAATCGATGGAACGAATAGAAAGAAAATTACTATTGTTTAAATGTAAAACTTTTCCTTCTTAAAAAAGTCTGAAGCCAAAAATGCATTTACAGCTTCACTCGCAAACAGCGCCTAACTGCCTCCAAATTAAGGAGTAAAAACAAAAAAGATTAAAAAAGAAATTGTCGATAGAGATGCTAATAATAATAACGACGGAAGCTGGCGCCGAACCACTCTGCAAAGATCTCAAAACCTCCAGAGATCTGATCTACACCCACTGAATTCCGAGCTTTCTTTAGCCCGAAAGCAAAAAACGTCAAAAAAATGAAAAACACGGCGCAGTCTTGGTTCCTGGGCGGACCCAGTAGCAGCGGTGTCGATCAACAGAAATCGCCGTCGTTGCTGGCGGATTGGAACGCCTACGCCGCTTCCCAAGACTCTGATTCTTCCGCTCTTGGGTTCGATCTCGAAGCCGCCGTTCGTACCACGACTGATAAAGTCAGTGGTACCTTTAACGTGTACGTATTTCATATGAATATGAAAAAAAAAAAAGTTGTCTTTTTGCATATATTGTTTTCTTTGCTTCGTAGCAAAAGGTATTTTTCTGTTGTTGGTTTTATTTTATTGGTTTAACTCGGTAGGTCTCTTTTGGGTTTGATAAACTGGATTGAATACGGGTTCATTTCTTAATAAAAATTCTAACCTTTTAAAAAGGAACAAAGGTTTAAATGCAATATGTTCTGTTCAAGTAAGACTCTCGACTGGGAAGTGTCAGGTTTAAGAGTGTAATCAAGCCGAGCTGAGCAGGTATACTGTTAGGCTCAATTTCGACTCAATTAGGCTCAATTATGATCCACTGAAGTAAGAAGCTTGAGCTCTATTTCAATAATCAATATATGTAAAATTATTAGAAAAAGCTCTATAGTGAGTGGGTTGGGCTTGAATGCTCATCGAGCTTGGCATGAATAACTTCATCTATTTACACCACTAGTCAGGTAAGAATCTTGAGGAAAGTAGGGTAAGATTTATTGGATGGAAGGAATGTACCTCTCAATTTCCATATTTACCTAAATATTTTGAGCTAGTGGCTTTGGAAATTTTCTTTTTATTGGATGGTTGATAGAGAACAGTAATGATCTAAAGAGAGGTGAAGAAGACAGATGTGGAGCACCATTTGCTATTATGCATGGTTTAGGTGGATCAGGTTTTATAAGTAAACTTTTCTTAAGGTAATAATGTTTGGATACTTTAATTTCTTTCCTATGCTTACAGGGTATGACAAAATTCATATTTAAGATATTATTGGGTTGTAAAAAGAACATTACAAAAGCTTGCCAACAAAAATCTTCTTTTCTCCATTGTTGTAGGATGGCAGTAATTGCAAAATGTATCACAACAAGAGTTCATAGTTGTTTCAATCTGAGTTACCCCATTTCCAAGCACTTGTGATTAATTCCCCAAGGGACCTTTTCAAGCAAAGTAGATAGGTTTTTCAGATGGTTCCTGCCTTTTGCTCTTTACGATTCAGTGATTTGCCCCATTTGTTCTGGCAACCTTTTCTCCTCCTCACTTCCATAGTCTTCATAGGTTCTCCCTTTGCATTCTACCTGTGACACTGATAATAGGTTATGGCTTTCTGCATTTTATGAGGATTCTTAGTATGGTCATGTGGGTGGAATCGTGCAATAGGTTTCTCGTGAATGTGATGAAGGATAATATGTGTGCTTTGTCTTTATGTGTAGAGTGTAGTTTTACAGCTTATGCAAATAAAATAGGAGAGACACAATTTTCTTGTTACCTTTATGGTAAGAATCTCTTTTGATTTAAATTCTGATTCTGTAGAGCATAAGCAGAGGCAAAAGCCTTATTATCAGAAAAGTCTGGCTTATTCTTGGTTTGAGCTTTGATTGCTATTTTCTCAGTAGTCATTATTTCTTATATTTCCGTGATGATGCTGATTTATCTCTTCAGGGTGTCAAAAGGAGTCAGAGACTTACCAGGCAGCTTTCAGTCTGCAACTAGCAATGTACCTTCTGGTAAATCATTAATGTACTTCGGCATGCTCCTTGCCACTGGAGTGTTCTTTGTCTTCATTGCGTTCACAATGTTCCTTCCAGTGATAGTATTGGTGCCTCAGAAGTTTGCTATATGCTTTACAATCGGTTGTGCATTAATTGTTGGCTCATTCTTTGCTTTGAAAGGTCCTCGAAATCAGCTTGCACACATGTCCTCCAAAGAGGTATATTAGTTCATCTAAAAGTTTCCATTTAAAGACTGCTCTGAATTTGAAGTAATTTTTTATTTTTCCTTCTTACAGCCTCCTAAAATAGTTTGAATGCTCTGTCTTTCTTCTTTATTTTCAGAGGCTGCCTTTTACATTGGGTTTTGTTGGTAGTATGATGGGAACCATTTATGCTTCCATGTGGCTTCATAGTTACATTCTTTCCGTGCTGTTCTCCGTATTACAGGTATTAGCACCGTATCAATCTGTATTTTCTTTGGTTTTCTTCCTTCACGTCGGGGAAATGGGGTACTGGGATAGTGGCCAAGGCAGTTTTGACTAGAGTTTCCTGAAATGTATAAAGATTCTGAAATGCTGTTATGCCTAAGTTACTGTTCTGACTGCTGAGTGCTAGCTGTTTTATAAAATTGTGGAATTCCTTCTTTCAGTGCTAGCTGTTTTAATAACATTTTGTAATGCCTTATTTTTAAGTAAATTTTGTTATTCATACGATGCCTTCTACAATATTTATTTGGGATCTTTCAAGATCTATGGGATGATAACCTAATTCTTTTAGTATTTTGCCAGCAGATTTTTTGCAACAGATGTTAAGTACTATAATATGTTATCCCTCTTATTCGATATGATAAGAAATCATTAACATTGTCTGCATGTTGTATTACTACATTCTGCATTAAAAATGGTGGAACACAAGTTAATGGAAATTGATTCCTCTTCAATCTTTTTTAGGTCATTTCACTATCATACTATGGTATATCCTACTTCCCTGGAGGATCTTCTGGGTTGAAATTTCTTTCTTCTACTCTCGCTTCATCAGTTTTGAGATGCTTTGGGAGGTGATATTGGTGTCTGGGTTTTTCATATGGTAATTTGGTCATTTACAATGGGCAACTTTTTACAAGATTCAGGATCTTCCAGTATCCATTGTTGTGTAAAATTAGAAGTTATGTACAATCATTTGGAGTAACTTCTAATGAAATTATGAGATATAATTGAGTTTTTATTCAAATGGTAAATTCAAATATGATTCATCCTTATTGTAGGCAGATGATCAATTGCTGTACATTTTTTTTTTTTTGCTAATCTAAATAGCAGACATGGTAATGGAATTATTTCTTTCCATTATTTCTTTGTATTTTATCATTTTGGAAGATGCTTTTGGTTCCCTGTGGAAATATTTATATTATCTGCTTGAAGAAAGACGGATGGTGGGTGAAGCTAAAGCTGATGTTTGCGCATAAGACAGTAACATTTTATCAGTAATCTGTATTGAGGATTCCAGAAGGCCCCAAAAGATTCTAGAAACTCCGTAATGGATTCTGCTAATCGATCATACTTGCATCACAAATATTTTTAACAATTTTTATAGCAGTTTGAATATTTGTTCTGTTTTTATTAGTATCAGGACCTTTAGAAAGGAAATCCTAAGAACAACCAGTAAGACCATGATACAACAAAGTAGAATCTCCAGAAAATCAGAAAATAGCAGAAAGAGGATTCTGTTACGGGTAATATATTTTACTTTTTTGTTACTCTCATGTATTGTGTTGCTCGGACTCAAGAACAAGCATTGGATACGAGTATGCATCGAATAGACATATACCTGTATGTTTAATTTTTTTTTCTAAAATTATCCATTGAATATAACTGTTCCAAGAAAAATAATAGATGTGTTCTAGAAAAATGAAATCTAACAGCAACAGACAGAGCTTATATATGTATTTTTATGCAGGACGGAAGGTTTGTATGAACAATGTAATATATATTATTGTTTCTAAATCATGTGGCATATTCCTGAATAGGTCAAAGCAGCAAGATTATCCGCTCCAATAACTTCAAATTTTTAAGAAATTTTAAGAGTATAATTTACAATACTTAATATACATGCATGAAAATTGCCTGTAAAGGGCTTCTTTTATGGACATTGCAGATCGAATCTCACTCAATTCTCCATGCATAAAGAAACAGAATGAATTCGGATGTCGTGGTGGGGCTTCTAGTAGAAAAATACCTGCTTCCGGTGCTGGTGTCACTTTCTCCTTCGTGGCTACTGCCCTCTCTGTCACTGTCTGCTTCAGCCGCGGTGGGCTTGAATATAAACAAGCCATGGCCCGTTCCATGGCTGCTAAACAACCAGTCATGCACATCCCAGAGCACTTGCACCGGCTGCCTATCTACCAAAACAGTCTGGTTACCTCTGAATTTCCAATGCAAATTCCTAACGTGAACCAACACAACCCCATCCAGGCTAATCCACATTTCAGGGTCTTTTAATCCAGTTATTGAACTCTCAACCACAATGTCGTGTTCTTTTCTTCTTTCATCGAATCTAGCTCTGGTCGCAAAACTCTTCTTCGCAAACACGTTTTCCCTTTTGTAAAATAGGAGAGGTTCAACCAAGGCTGGTCTCGATTTTGTTCTCTTGTATGCTTTTTTTTTGTAATCTCCCAACAACAATACCACCTCTTCATCAGCAACCAGCGCGACATAATAATCTGCTACTGGTTCAGGGCCATTGGTGAATTTAGCCGAACGAAGATCCCAGTGAACATCCACCTGGTTTCCTTCAACCTCAAAGGATTTGTACCCTTTTTTGCTCCAGAAATGCCAAGGTTTAAGATCAATCTTGCAAGTGTAATGAAAATCTCCTTCCATGCTATTGACCATAATGCTGAGAGAATGATTCATAAGGTTCTTGCTCCACAAAATCGTTACACTACGCCAATAGCCTAGTATATTGGTTTGGTACACCAACGTGACGGTGGTCTGAGCATTTTTAATGTTTGTGTGAGGGTGAGGTTCTTCGGCCGTTCTCTCTGCATAAAATTCCGAACTTCCGACTGACTGAGCTCTCATGGGGAGACGAAATGCCATTGCAATGCAATTTTATGGTTACCCTTGCTTTGCATCCAAATGGGATATCCAATCTCTTATTACATTCAAGATGTAGCAGAGAAAAGCCTAAAATGATGCAATTCTACTGCATCTGATCTTAAAATGGTTCTCCAGTACTGATCATAAACCCTTGATTGCCAAAAAAATTGGAAAGTTTCAGGAGATTAGAGCAGCCTGAGATCTTAGCTGATGATTGATGGGATAAAAAATCTGGTACCAAAAAATTTGCAGTTGAAGCTGATGCAATGGAGGGTTGTATGCCAGAAGTTGTGATTTCTGGGAAAGAGACAGAATGAAGGAACAGACAGCAAACTTTGTCTCTCTATGGAGGAAAAATCTCCATCTAGAGGCTGTAAGCAAAAATGGTGTCCGAAACAAGAGGGTCAAGAAAATGTCCTATTTGCTATATACAGTCAGTTTGCCTACTCAACAACATACAGTTTTTAAGGATATTATACTTCGACCATTTCATCTTAACCGAAATGTAAAATTTCTAACTGCCATGAAATGGATAGATACTAGCTCATATGCATCTCATAACACATCTATCCACAAAAATGGAACGAAAAGAAGGGAAAAAAAAAAGAATGACCTTCAGGCAGAAATGAAAAGTATGATTTGTTGAGAGCTGATGATCATTTATAGTATCAGGAGTTGGGCTTCCACTAGTTGATATTATTTATCGAATCTTTCATTAGTTAAAGCCATCGCCAGCAGAATAAAGAGGCCAGAAAATAATGTTTCATCTGGCACTCCAAATTCCAATCAAGTTTTCTGAACTGTGAGAATATGACTGCAACTTGACCCGCTTGGCTCTGACTCTCTGATCCTTGTGTGGAATATGAGCAAGGAAAATGATTTGAGAATATGACTGCAATTTCCTCTTTTTTCTTAATTCTAATAACCAATTATCATGTCAAAGCAGGCAGGTGTCAATGGCCTGCAACAATTATATTAAAAATATATTAAAATATTCTTCAAAAAAATATATTAAAAATAATGGAAAGGAATCAGACACAATTTGTCAATAATGCCTTGCGTTCTATTCTATTTCACTCGAAATCTATGCCTGCTGACTTGCTCATTCCATTGGTATGCCGACAGGCAAATAGGAGGAAAAAAACAGTCCCTAATACTTCTGGCTCTCAACTGATGCACCTTCATTCAATTTAATGACTGCAAACACTTGAATTCTGTTAAAATATATATTATGTTTAGTTGACTTATAAGATTGGATTTCATTTTTTAATATATCTTGTGGGCTTTAAACTCATTTATATATTTGTATATATATTTATTTTATAACCTAAAAATAAGATTGTTTTTCATTTTTCAAGTCATCATAGTATCAAGGCTTTCGATGATTATTATTTCTCTTTATTTCAGGTCACTTTGATTTGTTATTGTTTGACCTTTCTTTCTTTTTTTTTTTTAATAAGTGGTTGTTGCATTTGTATATTTTTTTTGTTTTGTTATTTTGTGAAATTGGGTGGAATTGATTTTTGTGCCATTGACTGTAATTTGAGTTTTGTGAAATTGGAATTGCCTTTGTTTTTTCCTACTTTTATTCATTGGTTACAGGTTGACTAAATATTTTAATGGTTCTGTATTATTCACCTGTGTAATTGGCTTATCTGTTTCACTTATTACGGATTGATCAATTTATTTACTTGTTATGGGTTTATCAGTGTATTAACTTTGAATTGTTTTTCTCTCATGGCTCTCTCAAAATTATCACAGTTTATTATAGTGAAATGAGATGAAACAAACTACACACAAATTGAAAGATTATTCGTTTTGGAAAACTTACATGTGTCACATTGTCCTTTTGGTCAATTTGATCATCTTTTTGTGTGAAAATCCTTATTAGTTTCTAGTGTTCAAAAGCTTTCATCTTTTTCCCTCTGGTAACGTAGGTTAGGATATGTTTCTTGTTTTGGACTTCAATATTTGGTATCTAATGACAAGTTAGGTTATGCTAAGTCAGAAACGTCCAATAATTGTATCAGTTGCAAACTAGTAAAACAGTCTACTTTATATTTCAATAAAAGTGAATTGGCTTCTTTATCTTCTTTTAATCTTGTTCATTCTAATGTATGAGGTCCATCTCATTTACCTACTATAGGGGATTCTTGTTATTATGTTATTTTTATTAACGATTATTCAGGGTACACTTGGATTTATTTGTTTTATATCGTTTGGATTTACTTAATATTTGTCAAAACACAATTTTTTAAAACTATTAAACATTTTCATACTGATTCTATTGGGGAATATCAATCAAGAAATTTAAAAGAGTTTTTTTTACTTCTTGTGGTATTTTTATTGAATCATCTTGTATTGATACACCATAGCAAAATGGTGTTGCTAAAAGAAAGCATCGTCATATAATGGAAACTACTAGAGCCTTATTGTTATCTTCATTGGTTCTTAAGAAATTTTGGGAGGAAACTACACTTACTTCAATTTATGTTATTAATCATATTCTTTCTTCTGTCATTGACGGAATTTCTCTTTTTAAACACTTGTATAACAATACTTCTAATTATTCTGAGCTTCGTATCTTTGGTTCTACATGTTTTGTTTTGCTTTCTAAAGTTCTGTGTAATAAATTATCTAAAAAAACTACCATTTATGTGTTTTTAGGGTATGGTATTGGACAAAAAAGATATCGTTTCTATGATCTTATTGCATAAAAACTTTGTGTTTCTTGACATGTTACTTTTTGGAAAAATATTTTGATGTTTTTATTGCCTCGTTTTCAAAAATTTACCAATGATCTTCATGAGTCTTTTGTCTTTTTTGAGTCTTTTGTTGATTTAAATGACTCTAATCAATCTTCTCATGCATCTCAAAGTTCTCCAACTCCTCAGCATATTCATCCAAATGAAGCTTATCCCATCACTGACTTTACCATAAGCAATCATACACCACGATTATCCAATTCGTCAGAGCCGTCTATCCCAAAACTTAGACATTTAACATGTGAGCAAATTCCTTCAAAACATTATCATGATTTTTATTGTTTTTTATCTACCATTCTTTCTGTTTATGAACCTAAATCTTATTGTGAAGCAAGTTCTAATCCTCTTTGGCAAGCAGCTATGAAAGAAGAATTAAATGCTTTAGAGAAAACTCATACTTAGCATCTTATTGATTTACTTCTTGGAAATTTTTTAATGGATTGTAAGTAGATGTACAAAATAAAGACTAAATCAAATAGGTCTATTAAGAAAGATAAAGCTAAGCTGGTTGCAAAAGAATTTACATAGGAGTATGGTATTTACTATAAAGAAACATTTGCTTCTGTAGCTTGAATGACTTTTGTTCGAACTCTTATAGTTATTGTTTCTATTTGAGGATGGGTTTTATCACAAATGGATGCAAAAAATGCTTTCTTAAATGGAGATCTTCATAAAAAAGTTTATAGAAACCTCTTACTAGATTGTCTTGCCAAACTAATCAAGTGTGCAAGCTTTGACGAGTTTTATATGGTTTTAAACAAGCACTACATGCTTGGTTTGAGAAATTCAGCACTACTATGCTTGATTTCGAATTTGTGTAGAGTCCTTATGATTCAATATTGTTTATTCATCAATCTGAAAGAGGTATTGTATTTTTGCTTTTTTATGTTGATGATATGGTGATAATTGGAGATGATAACCTTGTTATTCCAATATAAAAAATTGTCTTAACAAAACTTTGAGATAAAGGATGTTAGTCCATTATAATTATTTTTGAGAATTGAAATTAATTGTTCCTCTTTCATGGATATGTCTTGTCTCAATTGAAATATGCTTCTGATCTTATTTCTAAAGTTGGCTTATCTAATAATAAAACTATTGACACTCATCTTGAAACTAATGTCAAAATGAAAGCTACTAATAGAGAACTTCTTAATTATGATACTTTATATAGACAGTTACAAAACCTAATATTAGTCATGCAATTCAAGTTGTAAGCCAATTTATGACAGTACCTCAGACAATTCACTTTACTGCAATTCTTAAGATATTGAGATATTTGCGAGGAACACTACATAAAGGTTTGTTGTTCTCATTAACTTCTAAACTTAAACTTTGTGCTTTTTCTGATTCTGATTGGGATAGTGATGTTAATGATTGACGTTCTACAACTAGTTATTGTGTTTTTCTAGGTGATTCTTTGATATTTTGAAAAGCAAAAAGCAGATAGTTATGACGGGTTCAAGTGCTAAAGCAAAGTATAGAACTTTATTAGACACTACAGCAAAAATTATATGATTGTGTTGGTTACTTATGGATTTAGGTGTTGACATGCCCATTCCTATTCCACTTTTTTGTGATAGTAAAAATGTAATCAAATTGCTTATAATGATATTTTTCATGAATGAACGAAATATATTGAAATAGATTGTCATTTTATCAAATAGAAGATACATAAAGACACCATCATGCTATTGCATATTTCTTCTAAATCACAAGTGGCTAATCTTTTTACAAAGTCTCTTTCAAGCTCATGTTTTTGTTATTTAGTTTTCAAACTCCAAATGTTTCATTTCGAACCATCTTCAATATTAAAATGTATATTATATTTAATTGACTTATAAGGTTGGGCTTTATTTTTTAATATATCTCGTGGGCTTTAAATTCATTTATACATTTATATATATATATATATATGTATTTGACAACCCTAAGAATAAGATTGTTTTTCACTCTTCACGTCATCAAATACAAAGAGAGAAAGAGAGATGAGGAGATATATCAGACAACATTCAAATTGATTCTTTTGGCTGAGGTAGGTGGTAGCCATCACTGTAGCTTCTGCCATTGTCCTTTCTAACGTTTCAAAAGGATTGTCATGGTTTTATTTGGCATCTCCATGGACTTGGGCATCCAGTTTGGGGCCTTTTCTTATTTACCTTATTATTCTCATCATGCTATTGTATGTATATTCATCTTCCTGTCTCTTTCTCTTCAATACCATTTACTGTAACATTATGAGAACCACATTCTTGGTTCATCCCTCATTCATTTCCTTGTTTCATGTTTGTTCTGAAAGATAAAAGAAAGCAAAAGGCAAAAGAATTTATAAATCTAGAAAAGATTTTAGGCAACCTTCCGTTATGAGAAGAGGCAAGCCTCGAGATGAAAGGCTGGAGAAGGTTGAAGCCAGTCTTGTTAGAGCTAGAGCTTTGATAAGAGAAGATATATTAAACACTCCAAACAGCACATTTGAGCTTCAGGATTTGGATTTTGTTCCGAAAGAAAATATTTCCAAGAATGCTCGTTCATTTCACCAGTACTGAACCATTCAATCCACTGTCAATATTTTAATTTTCTAGGTTAATTACAAGCAAGAATCCCCTAAAAGCTTTGAATTGCCTTGAAAATGAGTATCCAGGTTATGAGATATGCCCTGTTCTTCATTTTTTATTGCAACATGAATTTTATCAAACAGAAGTTACCTGTTAATGGAAAAGATATTCATGTTGGGAACATTGACTCAAATCCCATAAGAGATTTGTTTGTGATTTGTTAGAGATTTGTTAGATATTGCTAGATGGACAAAAAGACTTGTAAAAAAAGAATTCTAAGAGAAAAAGGATTCTTAATAGGTAAGTTTAACTTGCAAGAGAATAATTCTAAAAGGAAAGAGATTCTTAATAGGCAAGTTTGACTTACAGAAAAAGAATTCTAAGAGGAGAGGTATTCTTAATGGGCAAGTTTATATGGTTATAAATAGTTAAAGTCTCTACAGGGTTAGGTATGAGAAAAAGATGTAAGAGAGTTGTAGGATTTTGTGAGATAGACACCCTATAGGAGTATTGGGGCTCTATGTCTTATGGGTGTGTATGTTTGTTTGTGAGTAGACTAGAAGAGACTGAGAGGGTTCACATAGGAGCACATAGGTATGATGTATAGAAGCATATGCATATGTGTTTGGTTATGTTGAAAGGGTGCACAAGGGTTTGGATTTGTGTTTGTTTGGGTTGAGAATACTTCATAAGACTAGAGGAGATTGAGAGTGTCTTATGAGTATTGATTGTTAAGTGAGGTTGATGATTTGATGTATGTTTGTAATTCTCTACAACTAGTGGATCTTGTTTCTCATCCGTGGATGTAGGTCAGTTGGACTGAACCACATTAAATTGTTGTCTCTTGTGTGTTTGATTTATTGTTTGATTTTGCTTCCGCTGATGTGATTGGATTGGAGACTTTTAGCCCAACAGTTCAAGATTTATGTTTATGAAGAGGGGGAGCCACCTTTATTTCATTATGGTACTTGCAAGAACATATGTCCATGGAAGGACTGTTCGTTAGATTGATGGAACAGAACAAAAGACATCAAACTCGGAATTCTGATAAAGCTCATGTTTATTTCCTTCCCTTTAGTGTTGTGATGATACTTGAACATCTGTTCGATCCAATCATCCGCGATAAAGCTGTGATGGAGCGTACAATTGTCGATTATGTCCGAACCTTATCTCAAGTATCCATATTGGAACAAATGCATTGGGGTTGATCATTTCATGCTTCCTGCCATGACTGGGTAATTTTGAATACTAATCCACTAATTGATTCATTCTCTGGGTTTAACTTAAATGTAATAATTTACATTGGAAGTGAATGTTTCTCGATGGTCACAGGGGCCAAGTGCAACCTGGTATGTGAAAGAACTCTACTACAATGCCATCCGAGAACTATGCAATGCAAACACTTCTGAATATTTTAATCCCAAGAAAGATGCATTATTTCCTTAAATCAATCTGATAACTGGGGAAATTATGAATCTTACTACCACTTTACATCCATCAAATAGGTCAGTCTTAGCATTCTTTGCAGGCAACTTGTATCATGGTAAAATAAGGGCGGTACTGTTTAAGCACCGGAAGGGAAGGGATAAAGATGTGCAAATCTATGAAACATTTCCAGAAGGACTTTCATATCAAGACATGATGAAGAAGAACAAGTATTGCTTATGTCCAAGTGGGCATGGAGTTGCCAGTACAAGAATTGTAGAAGCAATTTATGCTGAATGAGTTCCGGTACTAATATCACAGCACTATGTCCTTCCTTTCAGTGATGTTCTCAATTGGGGGTCATTTTCAATCCAAGTTCCAGTGAGTGAAATACCGAACCTCATGAAAATTCTCATCGGGATTTTTGAAGATCAATGTGCTAGATCATGTCAAGCAAGTACAACGTCATTTTTTGGTGAATGATCCTCCAAAGAGATATAATGTCTTTAACATGATAATTCACTCTATATGTCTTCGTAGGTTGAATGTACGAATTTATAGTTGATCCTCCACAGCCACTTGAAGTGTAAGGTTTCTTGTTTGCCTGCAACAGATTGAACCTTATCAAATACGAACAGAACCAAATTTGGAGCTAAGAATTGTATTATCTGGAAAGAGTTGCTTTTGCCTTTAATTTTGCACCTCACTGTCGTCATTTGACTAAAGCAGCCTACTGCTTGATCAGGTTCAGGTTCCATGTGTTCATTCAAGTAACTTAGCCAACATAGACAAGGAGCAGATCAGTTCGCTGTCTTCATTCAACAAACTTAGCTAACCTCTAAGAGCAGATGAGATTTGGAGCTAAGAAATCTTTTCATCAGAATACATGTCTGTAATGAGATGCCTATGGTTCTCAATAACTTCTCTTGATTCACTAATGGCTTAATTTTTTTTTTTTATTTTATATTTGAAAAATTATTCCCATGCTAGTATTTTTATTTGTTTCACTTAAAATTATCAGGATTTCATCATGGATTACTGAAATTAAGAACCACGTGAATTTTATCTATTTGATTCAGAACCGTGTCTAATAACCCAATTTCACTTGCAGTATACTAAAAATATTCAAAATTTATATGTTTTCCTTCTTAGAAAGAAATATCTGGAATTATGATCATATTTGACGTATAGAATAAAAGAGAGGATAAATGATAATTATCTTATATTATATTTAGCTTATATATATATATATAAATAAAATTGCAAGAAAGATTAATTATTATTTTAGTATAGAATAATTCAATCTTTCAAAAATAAAGAAGATTATTTTTAATTTATAAAATTAAATTTATATGTCTTATTATATTTTTAAAATTTATATTAATAATTTAAATTATAAAAATTTAAAAAAAAATAATTTTAATTAATAAATAAATTATTTTATCTTAATTTTATACATATCAAATATAAAATATGATAATATTATTTAATTTAATTCTATTCATAATATTATTTTTAACTTTTCATAATTACGTGCAACAAACACATTTAAATATAAAAAAAAAATTAGGAATTCATTAATTCCAAGTTTTCTTTTAATTTGGTTTTTATCTGAATTATAACTATACCGTATGTACAATCTGACTGTATCCAGTTTCACAGAATGAAAGAAGTAGATATTCTCTATATACATATATATATATATTATTTTTTAATATTAATATTTTTATTATTTAAATTACGGATTTAATTTTGATCTCAGAGATTTTGCTCTTTCAAGTCAACCACCGGATAATGACCTCAACCGCCTAATTTTGAGCCATAATATTTATATACTACAAATCTACGGTCGATTTAGAACACGCTGCTAGCAGCCAAGATCCTGGCTCTTGGGGTTGGGTCTCACTCTGTCAGACATTTCCATGCTCATGCATTTGTCATGTTTCATTGAATTTGACCAGTCGAACAATATATGAAGCACGTGACTATTTTATTTGATATAATAATATACTAATATGTTTAAAACTAAATGACTGAGTGTACTTAGGAGTCAACTGAACCAATCAGCTACTTGTCTTTATGCAATGACAAGACTTAATACATACAATTATTCGATGAAATTTTTGTTTATATCGATATTAAATTAAATTAAATTTATATTTTTTAAATATTTATATTTTATTAATTTTCTCGTTAAATTTTATGTTTTGTTTATGTAAATCAGGTGTGTTGAATTTTAAATTAATTAAAAATATTTAATTATTTATTCGATAATAATATATTATGAAAAATACTACTTTTAATTGAAAAGATAAGATTTTAAATTGATTTGAAATTTTACATTTATTATGAATATGAATGCGAATAAACTATTAGATTTAATAATCAACTTATAAAAATATTAATGAAAATTATAAAATAAATATTAATTAATTAATTAATTTTACATCAACATAACTTGTCCCACCTATATTTATTTAATTAGTTTTTAGAATTAACAAAAAGCCAACGAATGGAGAAGAAAGGTCACGCCCGCCATCTCGTGAGCCATTAATTTGAAGTAAGGTTGACAATAAATTGAGTCGGAATAAATTTTTATTTGTTTTAAATTTGATTTAATTTTATAATTATAAAATTTTATTTGATTCGATTTAAATTTTTTTATTTTTTAATATTTGAATTTGATCTAAAATTTGATATTGTATAAATTATTTTTTATTCGATCTGACTCAAAATTAATAAAATATTATTTTTAAAATATAAATATATAATTATATATAAATAAAAAATTAAAAAATAATTTTTAATATAATATTAGGTCAGATCGAGTTTACCTAAAACTCAAATCCAATCTGACTCTGATTTTTTTTTTTAGTAATATCCAATCCGATCCAAAATTCGATTAAAAAAAATCAATCTTATGAAATCGGATCGAATCAAAATCCATCAAGTTCGAATTAAGCTATCAACCCTAATCTAAAATAACCAAAATCAACTAATTTATTTAATGAAAAATTACTAGTCTATTCTAACGAAAGAAAGAAGTTTGACTCGACTTCTTCCTTCATCAAAACTTTCTTAGTCTTACATTATGCTTCTTTAGGTTGAGTGCTTTTTTTCATCTAAAATATAGTATTAATATTTAACTTAGGTTCACATTGTCACACTCAACAACTCATTGTTTTACATGCTTCATTATTTTTCTAAATTAATTACATGAGAGTTTCAGTACCAAAAAAAAAAAATTATATGAAAGTTTGAGTTGTTTAATGATTCATTGGTGGTGGTCATTGTCAAGGGTTATGAATCATTAATTTTTAAATATCAATCAATTTCACTGCTAATTGAGCAAATCTTATAAGAGAGTTAGGCAATGGAGTTTGATTTTTTTTCTTTTAATTTTGTAAAATCATATTGAATTATAATTTATATAGGGATTTATTAGTGAGGTTCTTTATGTGAGAAAAAAATTGTTGAAGTTTTTCATTCAAAATAATTAAATGATAACCAAAATTGGAATGAGAAATTCAAAATTTTAAAAATTTTCCTTCAAAAATGTTTTTAATAAAAAGGTTAATTTTTACAATTCTCTAAATTGAAAAATTAAACTCCATATGCATAAATCTTTTTCAACAATTACTGTTATATAATTTTTTTAGAGAATTTATTTTTTTTAAACTTTAGTTTGATTTATAAGTCACCTCATGATAAGGTGTATATGACTTAATTAAGAACAATATTTTTACCTCTTGGCAACTAATTTTCCTTTTTCTAATAAAGGTATATCTATACCAACTTTTCTTTTCCATCTTTCATATCATTTCCCAAATAGCTCTTGAACCGTTCGTGAGGGACGAGGTTGAAGCACAGACCCTCAAAAACCCATAGCCAAATGGCCAAAGAGTATAGACCAGCTGCTGTGGGGAAGTCATGGTATGCATGGTGGGAGAAATAAGGGTTTTTTCTGGCTGATGCAAGCAGCTCAAAACCACCTTTTGTTGTTGTCAATGTGACTGGGGCCCTGCACATTGGCCATGCCCCAACTAGTGCCATACAGGACACTATCATTGGTTGGAGAAGAATATCTGGATATAATGCATTGTGGGTACCTGGCATGGATCACGCTGGGATAACTACACAGGTGGTTGTAGAGAAAAAGCTAATACGTGAAAGACGCTTAACCAGGCATGATGTTGGTCGTGAAGAGTTTGTAAATGAAGTTTGGAAGTGGAAGACGTGGTACCATTCTGGCACAACAAAGGCAGATGGGTGCCTCCCTTGACTGGTCCGTGAGTGCTTTACAATGGACGAGAAGAGGTCAAAGGCTGTGACAGAGGCTTTCTGTCGACTTTATGAGGAGGGTCTTATCTATAGGGATCGACGGTTAGTCAATTGGGAATGTGTCTTGGGAACTGCTATCTCTGATAATGAGGTAAATTATACTGACATCAAAGAAAGAACTTTGTTAAAGGTCCCTGGTTACAAAAAACCAGTGGAGTTTTGAGTATTGACATCATTTGCTTACCCTTTGGAGGGAGAATGAAATGTTTCACGATCATCATTTTTATATTTTATTCAATCTTCGAAAGGTAATTTTATATAAAAATGCTAACGGATGTCTTACGTGCATAATGATGCTAATAATAATCATAACGGGTGCCCTAAACATTCTTTTATACATTGGTTTTCGTTTATGCATTATTAATGCAAATGGAGTAACTAAATTGATCAACTTACCATTTATTTTTAGATCGCAAATTTGAATCAAAAGGCTAACAAAACTGATGAAAGAAATGTGCAAGATGTTTAGTGAAATTGATGCTGTACATATTGTTCTGAGTTAAATCTTTGTATTGGTTAATTTTCACTGGTGAATTGCACTAGGAAAAAACCAATGAAAAGGTTACGTTCTGATCTGTCTGGCTCCCTGGATGCCAACAAAGGATGCAATCAATAAGGATTGGCCCTTCCAACAGAGAAGTCAGGTCCAAAGCCAGGCAGATTCTTGTCACCATTTCAGGTATTTATATACTCTTAATCGCAAACATTTTGTTCTTTTATAAATGAGGCTTCAGTTCAAGAATAAAATAAAATTTAAAGGTATTAGAATTTAAATTTAATTCTGTTAAATGTTATCTATTCAATTACAAATTCCTTTTTTTAATTTGTCTCCATATTTTTTTTCTCACCCTTTTGTTCGTTTTTGTTCAGAACATGTGTTGGAAAGCCTGACAATTCACAGTTGATCCTGGGCTTTGATATGGGCTAGGGCTAACCAGTCCAAAGGTAGCCCAATCAAGTTTAGCCCACACCACATACAATATATTGCATTTAATATTTAGTTTGCTCCAATTCTAACTTTACCAACTTCAGCGTAATCATAATAGTGCTAAATGAGTGGCATTCATTGGATCTCCTTTTAGTCAAACTCGAGCTTTATTTAACTCATCATTTAATTTATTATTAAATTATTAAAATATAAAATATTATATTATATTATATTAATATTTCAAAGGTAGATTTAAGAATTAATAATAAATGCTTCAAAAATATTCTTTTTATTTCGTTCATTTTTAATGTTTTTAAGTTATTATTTTTTAAAAATTATAATTTAACAATATTAAAAAATTAAGAATAATATAGAAAACATTAAAATGAGAATGACAAATGAGAGTGAATGCAGAGTATAGAAGAAAAATTTTCGACTTTTTTCTTTTAATTTTGTTTTAAAAATAATTAAAATATTATTTTAAAGCATATTTTTTTACTAAATTAAAAAAATAATACATTAATTATTTTTTTACATAAAAATTTACAACATAAAATAAAATTAAAAAATTTATAAATATTAAATATTTAAATTTAAATTTATTATATATCACCTCTTCAAAAATAATTAAATAGTGGTTTGTTTATAGACTTAAGACAAATGAATGGCCATTACTTCAAACACGGAGTAGCCACTGGGAGGCCGTCGCTTTCTCGCATGGAGTAAAGTACAGCTATGACTCGGTCGTTTGTGAAGGTAATTTTAGCTCCATTCACTCTTTAAGTTTCCTCTTGAGTTTCTCATCACTTCGTACGCAAGTCCTTAATTTAGACTCTTTTTATTTACTATGTTACTACTTTTATGCCATTCTACAGAGTACTCGATGCAGGCACCACAAGAAGACTTGATTTCCTAACTTACGAGAGCAACTTTCATTGTTTTTTTTTTTTTTTTAACCAATGATTAAGCTATGTAAGAAGGATAATATTATTAAATTTTTAATGAAAATATAGGATTAGAGTCATTTAACTTTGTTGATGTAATTCTTAATTTGATGAGAGTGAAGTTCGTCTGAGCACTGAATTTAATACCTTTGACCTATTTATTAATCTAACAACGTATTATGAAATGTTTTATGTAAGCATCACTTAGGAATAAGATTTGATATCCTAACTTATGAGGGCAACTTTTGTTGTTTTTTTTTTTTAACCAATGATTAAATTATATAAAGAGGTAATGTTATTATTATTTTTTTAAACAAAGTCTTCCATTTTTAATAAAAATGAGATTCAAGTCATTACACTTCAATTTTTTAATGAATAATTATTAACTAATTTTATGCACTAAGCCAGCACATTCCATTTCAAAGTGTCTTTCAAAGAAAAAAAAAGGAAGATTGATAAAACTTGCAAAACGTGTTATTAGTTCTAGAAGATTAACGAATTTTGATAATAAATTCAAAAATTTTGGAATCAAAATTTTTTTGTCATATATTTCTAGTGTTGTTTGCTTATCAACGTTAGCCTTATTCAAGTGTGAACATTAAATCTAAATATTTTTTATGCAATATATATTTTTAGTATTTTTAATTACATACAAATCACTTGCGCCAATAACCTGGATGGAGTCAAAATGATAAATGTATTTTTTTTCTCCTGTTCCGGCTGGCAAATTGATCTATCCTTGTATCATCGAGTCATATATATTATCTTAAAACAAACTATTGGTATATATATTAATAGAACATTGTATACTTGAAACATATATTATATAATGAATGGATGAAATTAATTAATCTTTAATTATATATCTACCCACTATTTATAAATAAAAAGTTAGGGGCGGTCACCTTTATTTCGTAATCGTACTTGCAAGACCTACGTTTGCTTGGTGAAAGGAATTTCGCTCTAGATGTTCTTTGGGTTTGTTTGGAAAGTGGCCTACGTTTGCTTAATCCATTTATGCCATTTGTTACCGAAGAACTGTGGCAGCGCCTTCCAGGAGTAAAGAGCGACACAAGGAGAGAATCTATAATGATATGCGAATACCCATCACCAATAGAGAGCTAGACAAATGAAAGGGTGGAATTTGAAATGGACCTTGTAGAGTCCATTGTCAGGTGTTGAGGTCACTTAGAGCAGAGCTGCTTGCTATGGAGAAGAATGAAAGATTTCCTGTTTTTGCATTCTGTCAAAATGATGAAGTATTGGCAGAAATCGTCAGATCTTGTGAATTAAAGATCTTAAACCTTGCTTCTTTATCATCTTTAAAGGTTTACTGAGTGATGTAGATGATGCTCCAGCTGGACGTGCACTTGAGAATGTTAACGAAAACCTAAAAGTTTATCTTAAGGTTCATGAAACTCTAAATGCAGAAGCAGAGTGCGAAAGATCAAGAATAAAATAGATTGCAGAAGCAAGAATTGTAGAAGCAATTTATGCTGAATGAGTTCCGGTGCTAATATTACAGCACTATGTCCTTCCTTTCAGTGATGTTCTCAATTGGGAGTCGTTTTCAATCCAAGTTCCAGTGAGTGAAATACCAAACCTCAAGAAAATTCTCATGCGGATATCTGAAGATCAATATCTTAGAATGCTACAGCATATCAAGTAAGTGCAACGTCATTTTTTGGTGAATGATCCTCCAAAGAAATATGATGTCTTTAACATGATAATTCACTCCATATGGCTTCGTCGGTTGAATGTGCGAATTTATAGTTGATCCTCCACAGCCACTTGAAGTGTCAGGTTTCTTGTTTGCCCATAACAGATTGAGCCTTATCAAATATGAACAGAACCAAATTTGCAGCTAAGAATTGTAATATCAGGAAAGAGTTGCTTTTGCCATTAATTTTCACCTCACTGTCTTCATTTGATTAAAGCAGCCTACTGTTTGATCATGTTCAGGTTCCATGTCTTCATTCAAGAAACTTAGCTAACCTCCAAGAGCAGATGAGATTTAGAGCTAAGAAATCTTGTCATCAGAATACATGTCTGCAAAGAGATGGCCTTGGTTCTCACTAACTTCTCTTGATTCACTAATGGCATAAATTTTTTATATGAAAAATAATTCTCATGCTAGTATTTGTAGTTTTTAACTTGAAATTATCGAATTTTAAACTTTAATCACTGAAATTTAAAAAACACATGATTTGATCTGTTTTATGAACGTGTCCAATACCCCAATTTCACTTGCAGTATACTAAAAAGTTTACGAAATGTTCAAAATTTATAAGTTTTCCTTCCTAGAAAGGAATATATGGAACTATATATGTTAAGAAAATTAAGAATTCATTAATTCCAAGTTTTCTTTTAATTTGGTTTTTATCTAAATAATAAATATTTTTATTTTTTAAATATTATTATATGTTATCAGAATTATAATTGATCGGCTTATTCCGTGCAGCACGGTTTTAAAACCAGTAAATCATATAAGTAAACAGAAAATTTTCTTTTATCAAAATACCGTCTAAACAAGAATTGACTTAAACGTATATATCCGAGCTTCCATTTATTCGTCGCAAAAGCGACAAAGGGTTCGTTGCAAAAGAATGAAAAGTGAAAAGTCGTTAAATATTAGAAAGAAGCAGCACCTTTTTCGGCACGAACCATGATAGAAGTTAGAAGGACTAAGGAAAAAGCTTGGCCTGCTGGCTGGGAGTCAAAAAAAAAAAAAAGTGACGTTAAACAGTGTTTTGTATTTTTTTAATTATAATTAAGTTTTCTTTATATAAAAAATTATTGAATAAATACATAAATAAATCAATTAAAAAATTAAAATTTAATTAAATAAATTTAATATCAAATTATATCAAATACAAATCCAATGAAACTGAAACTTAAAATTTCAATATTTTATTTTATTTTTCATTAAATTAAAATCTCAATAGTATAATTTTTTTATTATTTAAATTATAATTAAATTTGGTTTCGAGATTTTGGCCTTTTTAAGCTAATTAGTTCACGCATGAAATTATATTTTCATTTTAATTTTCATTTAATCATTTATCATTAAAAAATTTCTATTAGCTTGGCCTCAAAACCTTTAACGTGTAAGTCTTATCCGCACATGAATGCATTTCCATACTTATGCATTTGTAATGGTTCATCGAATTTGACCAGCTCAACAATAAATGAAGAACATGATGTTTAATTTGATCTAATAATATACTAATATATTTAAAACCAAATGACTGAATGGACTTAGGAGTCAACTCAATCAATCAACTACTGTCCTTATGCATAAAGCCTTAATATATACTATTATTCGAGGAAAATTTTGTTTACATCAATATAAAATAGTTTTATTTTATATTTTTAAATAACTTATATTTTATTAATTTACTCTTTAAATTTTATGTTTTATTATATAAATCACGTATGTTGAATTTTAAATCAATTAAAATTTTAATTATTTATTCGATAATAATATATTTTAAAATATTATTTAATTTGATTGAAATGATAAAATATCATATTGATTTTAAATTTTATGTCTACGATAAATATGAATAAATTATTAAATGATTTATAAAAAATATTAATAAAAAATATTAATTAAATATAAAATAATTAATTAATTTTACATCAACATAACTTGTCCCTCCTCTAATTATTTAATTAAATTCTAGAATTAACAAAAAGCCAAAGAATGGGAAAGAAAGGTCACGCCCTCCACCTCGAGAACGACTAATCAAAAGTAACCAAATCAACTAATTTATCCAATTAAAAAAATTTTAACTAATCTAATTTAGTGGAAAGAAAGAAGGTTGACTCGACATTTTCTTCCATCAAAACTTTCTTAATTTTACATTATTAATATTCTTTGTTTTGAGTACTTTTTTTCATCTAAAATATAGTATTAATATTTAACTCAGGTCCACATTCAACAACTCTTTGTCTTACATGCTCCATTCTTTCTCTAAATAAATTACATAAGAGTTTTAGTACCCAAAAAAAAAAAAAAATTATAGGAGAGTTTGAGTTTCTTTAATTCCTTGGTAGGAGTCATTGTTAAGGGGTTGTGAATCATTAATTTGTAGATATCAGTCAATATCATTGCTAATTGAGCAAATCTTATGAGATTTAGTCAATGGAGTTTTATTTTTTTTTTATTTTGTAAAATCATATTGAATTATATAGCGATTTATTGGTTAGGTTCTTTATGTGAGAAAAAAAATTGTTGAAGTTTTTCATTAAAAATAATTAAATGATAAGCAAAATTGGAATGCGAAATTCAAATTTTTAATGATTTTCTTTTAAATAAGTTTTTAATAAAAAGGTTAATTTTTACTATTCTCTAAATTGCAAATTAAACTCCATATACATAAATCTTTTTCAACAATTACCGTTATATAATTTTTTTGGAGAATTTTTTTTTTTTTTAATTTTAGTTTGATTTATAGGTCACCTCATGATAAGGTGTATATGACCTAATTAAGAACAATATTTTTACCTCTTGGCAACTAATTTTCCATTTTTAAATAAAGGTATAGACCAACTTTTCCTTTCATCTTTCATATCATTTCCCAAATAGCTCTTGAACCATTCGTGAGGGACGAGGTGTGCTTTTTTTTTTTACTCTGGGAGCTTTGTCTTGTTTTCTTTTAGGTTAACTAAAAAGTACCTTTAAGAGATTTTTTTTATTTAATAAATAAATTTAATTAAAAATATGTATTTATCATTAAATCAAATATTTTATTATTATTAATTACGATTAATAGTACAAAAGATGAAGTGGGGTGGTTTTCTCCTTCAAATATTTCATTTAAGGATTTATATTTGATATATTATTAGCATATAGATATTATATATTATTAGTGAATTATATAATAATATTTTATAAAAAATAATTTTAAATATATTTTATAATTAAGTATATTTATTTTTAAAATTTTAAAATTAATTTTTTTATAGAATATTATTCTGTGATTCATTAATAATGTGTAACATATATATATATATATATATATCAACTATAAACTTAATAATGTGTAATATATATATATATATCAACTATAAACTTACTTTTTATCAAAATTTAAATTTTGCCACAAACCGCCAAATATAAACGATGCTTAATGCTTACGTCAAGCGTTCCACCAGTTTTTCATTTCATTTTTTTGCCTCTTATATATTTATAAGTCATAACCATAATCAGAGTTTCACATATGTGTTTTTTGTTTATTTCAAGAAGGTATTTCTTTTTTTATAAAAGACAAAATACATCACTTATTAAAAGAAAGAAAGTGATTCAAAATCTGATTTTCTAAATATATATATGAATTATTTTTCATTTAAACTAAATGGTCAAGTGAGACAAAGATGTTTTGTAGTGTGTACGCCCGCCTTCGTAATACACAGTAGGGAACCAAAGTAAAGAGCTGACGAAGTAAACCTGGTAGGGTCACCAATTATGATCAAATTCAATGGTTTGTGGAAATTGCAGAGAAATATCCGTAGGCCTCAAGCAAACTCTGAATCCCGGGCAGTCTATAAATACCAAGAAAGTTTGGTTACCTCGGCCAAGACAAACAACTAACAACATAGTAGTTAGTTCCTCTCTAGTTTCTTCCTTCAATCGTCTTTTCCTCGACATCTTTTTGAAAAAAAAAAAAGGCTTAACAGATAAAACGACACCATGAAGGTATGGAAATGAATCATGAATTATATATATAGAAAAAAAGAGTATCTATTTGATTGAATTTTGCTTTTCTTTTTTCAGCAAAAGATGGTAGTCAGGGTAACTATGAGTGGCAATAAGTCCCGCTCCAAGGCCTTGAAAATTGCAGTCGGTCTCCCAGGTACCGAAACCAACTTTGATTTTCATTCCTTCTGATGATAAAATTTGGAAAAAAAAATTTATACTGATTGTTGGTTTGTGTGTGTGTATGTAGGGGTGGAGTCTGCTTCTTTAATAGGCGATGACAAGAGCCAAATAGAGTTAACAGGGGAAGAGGTTGATCCAGTTCAGCTAATACGTCTGCTAAAAAATAGTCTGAGACATGCAGAGCTGGTTAGCGTGAGTACCGTGGATGGTGACAAGAAGGAAGAGAAGAAAGAAGACGAAAAGCCACCTGTGTATGTCTGGGATCCTAATCCACCTTATTATATGTATGAGGTGCCACATGAACCCTCTTGCTCCATCTTGTAAGTGACAAGAATTTAGAAGGTGACAATAAAAGAGACAGATGCGTGGCTTTAATTCCCTTAGGCTGAGTTTGAGAAATTTAATACTATGTCTTGCTGCAGTTCATGATCATGCCAAAACAGGCAATGGTGTCCATGTGAAGGAGACTTATTGCCCTTCTTTTTTCTTCTTCTTCCTTTTTTTTTTTTTTTTTTTCAGTTTTTGAATTTTATCGTACCTGTTTGTATAATTGTGATAGTGCAATTCTGATTTTTAAGTTTGATGTCTCCTATATGTTGCACAATTGAATTGTCGATTACTTGAGTGAATTGAAGTTTGATCATGCAAATGGTTTTTGATTGGTTGTATGGTTCAAAAGTAGCAGAAACAAATCATAAACCCAATATAAGGTGGAAAGAGGCAAATGGAATGTCAAACTTACAGTGCATCTAAGATTCAAAGAGAATTCACTGTTTTGACATTTAGTGAGCTTCTGCTGATGCTCTTATCTTCATCTTAAATAAATTTGATAATTTTAAATTAAAATAATTAAATAATTATGTATTTGATAAAAAATTTTTAAAATATGTATTTTGTATTTAACATTTCATACAAATTGCATTATAACAATTTTTATGTTTTATTTATATTTGACGAAAAATAAACACAATATAAATACACGAATTAATTACCATGCCTAAGCTTAAATCCTGTCCCTCCATTAATTTTAACCAAAAAAAAAAAAAAGTTGGCTCTTGTAAGGGGTAAAGCGTAGAGTTTGGGAAAAGAGTCCAGTTTTTTTTTTTTTTTCTTCTTGTGAAAAACATGGGAAAGGATCAAAATGCTAAATGCAATTTTAGATTCCTTCAACCACGTAAGTAACTAATAAGGATTTTTTTTAAAAAGCAATTATATGAATTAATATGGATTATTTTCAGAAAAAAAAGAAATTATATGAAAATTAACATATTTGTACATTAAATTCTTAAATTGCCATTAGAAATTAATTTTACTTTATTATCGTTTTATATTTTAATAATAAAATTAGTTTTGTATAATGAAAATTTTTATTATATTGGGCCCTAACTTTTTATTTATAAACAGTGGGTAGATATATAATTAAAGATTAATTAATTTCATCCATTCATTATATAATATATATATACACACACACCAATAGTTTGTTTTAAGATAATATGACTCGATGATACGAGGGTAGATCAATTTGGCCGCCAGAACAAAACAACAAAAAAAGAGAAAAGTACATTTGACGTTTTGACTCCGTCCAACTTATTGGCGCAAGTGATTTGTATGTGATTAAAAATATTATATATATATATATATTGCAAAAAAAATATTTAGATTTAATGTTCACCCTTGAATAAGGCTAACGTTGATAACCAAATAACACTAGAAATATATGACCAAAAAAAATTTTCATTCCAAAAATTCATTAATCTTCAAGAACTAATAACATGGTTTGCAATTTTTGTTGATCTTTTTTAAATGAAACTTGAAATGGAATATGCTAACTTAATGCATAAAAATTAGGGACAAAACTTAAATGAAAATTTTTAAATAAAGTTTATAAAGTTTCTTTTTTAAAAAAATTTAATAAAAATTCGAATTGATAAATTAATAGAGTTTAATGTGAAAATCAATAACATGTAAAAAAAATTATTAAAAATATTGTTTATAATTTAAATTTGATCCATAATTATTCAATAGTTAAAATTATATCAATATTTTTATGAAAAATTTTTATCTAAAAATATATATAAATTTATTAAAATTTTTTCAAAATTTACATATTTGATATATGTAACGAAATCTTTCAATTTATTGATTTTAATTTTTTATTTTAATTTTTATTTAATCGTTTTTAGTAGAAAACTTCATAAACTTTACCTAAAAAATTTCATTTAAGTCTTTTCCTAAAATTAGTTAATAATTATACATTAAAAAATCAAAGTGTAATGATTTGAATATCATTTTTATTAAAAATGGAAGACTTTGTTAAAAGATTATATAATAACATTACCCTTAAAAAAAACAATAAAAGTTGCTCTCATAAGTTAGGAAATCAAATCTTATTCCAAGATGAATACATAAAGTATTCCATAAGATGGTGTTAGATTAATAAATAGGTCAAAGGTATCAAATTTAGTATTCAAACGAGTTTCACTCTCATCAGATTAAGAATTACATCAACAAAATCGAATGACTCTAATCCCATTTTTTTTATTAAAAATGTAATAATATTATCCTTCTTACCTAGCTTAATCATTGGTAAAAATAATAATAATAATAATAATAATAATAACAATAAAAGTTACCCTTGTAGAAATCAAGTCTTCTTGTGATGCCTACATTGCGTATTCTCTAGAAGGTCAAGTCCATTCATGAATTTTCTTTTCCCTCAGTCAAAAAGAGCAACGTTTTACATGCATTCCTTGGTGAGAATGGGACTTTCTATACCATTGTATAAATAGTATTTTAATTGATTGTTTTAATTTTGATTAAAATAAAACATATATAAAATGATTTTAAATTTATTTTTTATCTTCAATTTTTTGTATAATTTCCAATTAAATTATAAATTTTAATTTTATCAAGTATTGACAATCGAGTTCTTGTATTATGAAAAAAAATTTAATCAATTTTATTTTTTATTTTTAACAATTTCTTAATAAAAGTAGTAATATATAGTGAATTTGCGTGAGAAGAAATGAAACTAAGAGGAAGGGTTGGGGAGTCAATGGAACTAAAATTTTTTTGACAAACGACCGAGTCGGAGCTATACTTAATCAACGCGAGAAAGCGACGGCCTCTCCGCGGCTCCTTCGTGTTTGAAGAAATGACCATTCACCTATCTTTAACTCTATAAACGAACCACAATTTATTAGACGTAAATTGTGAGTTGATGTGTAGTTGGTATTGATTAAAGTGATACTTAAGAATAATTTAATATTTAATTCAGTTATTTAATGTAATTATTTTAATATATATATTCAGTAAATTTAAAATTTATAATTTATAATTTTTTATTGTCAAACTATTTTTTTTAAAATGTAATTAACGTATTATTTTTTAAATTTAAAGAAAAATGCACTAAAATAATATTTTAATTGTTTTTAATTATTTTTAAAATGAAATTAAAAAGAAAAAGTCAAAAAAGTTTTCCTATGTACTCTGCATTTGGGTCACTCTCATTTGTCATTCCCATTTTAATGTTTTTTATACTATTCTTAATTTTTTAATTTTGATAAATTATAATTTTTTTTAAAAGATAATAACTTAAAAATTCATTAAAAATAAATGAAATAAAAAATATATTTTTGAGTTATTTATTATTAATTCTTAAATATATATTTGAAATATTAATATTAATATAATTTAATAATTTAATAATAAATTAAATGATGAGTTGAATAGAGCTCGAGTTTGACTAAAAAGGAGATCCAATGAATAGCTCTAATTTAGCAGTATTATGATTAAGTTAAATTTGATAAAGCTTGAATTGCAGTGAACTAAATACAATGCAATATTGTACATGTGGTGTGGGCTTTAATTAATTGGGCTACCTTTGGACTGGTTTGCCCTAAGCCCAATTCAAAGCCCAGTATCAACTTGCAACTCAAGTGAATTGTCAGGCTTTCCAACACAAAACATGTTCCGAACAAAAACTAAGCAAGAAGAAAAAAAAAAATGAAGACAAATTAAAAAGAATTTATAAAAAAACAAATGTTAGCGCTTAAGAATATATAAATACCTGAAATGGTGACAATAATCTGCCTGGCTTTGGACCTGCTTGACTCCTCTGATGCCAACTAGGAAGGGCCAATCCTTGTTGACAGCATCCTTAGTTGGCATTCAGGGAGCCAGGCAGATCAGAACGTGACTGTTTCATTGGTTTTTACTTTGTGCAATTCACCTGTGAAAACCAATCCAAAGATTCAACTCAAAACAATGACACGTACGGTATCAATTTCACTAAACATCTCACTTTTTTTTTTTATCAGTTTTGTTAGTCTTTTGATGCAAATTTGCGATCTATGAATAAATGATAAAGTTGATCAATTTAGTTACTTCATTTGCATTAATAATGCATAAACTAAAACCAATGTATGAAAGAGCAATGTTTAGGGCACCTGTGATGATTATTATTCGCATCATTATGCATGTAAGACATCCATTAGCATTTTTGTATAAAATTATCTTTCGAAGATTGAATAAAAAAATAAAAATGATGATTCTGAAACATTTCACAATGCATCTGGCAACTGTAACTGAACATTTAATTCAATAATATAGTTAAATTTGAATTTTCATTCTCAAAATTTAAAAAAAAAAAGAAAGTACCTTATGATTAGGCTAGGGCTACATCAACTGAATAAAGGCAAATGAAACACATGAAGAACAAGTCGATTTTGTAAATTAAAAAGGGTTTGCGTTGAAGGAATTACCCCTCAATTGATGGCCAAATAACGTATTTATAGAGGCTAGGTTTAGCAGTACAAATGAAATTAAAAAAAAAAGGGAAACAGTTTAATTGTGCAGAAGAAAAGTGGAGTATTAAGGAAAGAAATTATACACATTCAGCCTATCAAACATAGAACACAAGGAGAGCAAATAAATGAGTATTTTTAAAGGGATTTACATACTATAAAATGGTCCATTCTGGTATCAGATTTAGGAAAGTAAATTAATCTAAATGGGAAGAAAAATCAGGAAATTTAATGCATAGTAATCAAAATTTTAAATCATTGCACCCACTTTAAAACATAGATCTTGTTGAACTTTGGTGTACGATCTCCATAATTGGATATTTTTTTTCTCAAATGAAAAAAAAAATTATCACTATTAGTGATCACTTACAGTTCAATCACTGGCTGACGAAAAACTTGCAGACCGCAGAGACATGTTGCAAAGAAGTTGAGCTCAACAGCTGCCATGATTTTCCCCTCAGTTTACTGCTCTCTCTATCAACCCATATATAGTAATTCACTTTTCAATTCAGTTCAAACTTGGAAGTGAAATAAGTGCATAAACTACATATATATCGGGTTTGAAAGCAAGTGTGGCTGAGGAAAGTGACAACAAGAACTCCATGGAAAAAGAGGAGAGAGGAATATAAACCAGACGGCAAACCGTTGGATTTTTTTAAACTATACGGTTATAATTAAAAAGAAAAATCATACCCTTTTTTCTTGAAGTTAAAAAATGCCAAAAATGAAGCCTCTTGGTTTTGCAACTTCGAAAATCTTGGCATTTTCCTTCGATATATGTAAGACAACCAATATTTCACTAGTATTATTTTAAGCAAATGATGATTTGGCATTGATGTCCACAATGGCCATTGACAGGAGAGCACTGTCTGAGAACAAAGCATGAGACAAAGTGACAGCCTCGGCATGGGTGGTTTGACGGATTATTTGACGGTCGTTTTATGGGTGCTTACAATTAAAAAAAAATTTGAAACCAAGATGGGGACAGAGGAGGATTGGGGACCCAGTATTGCATATGGGATCCCGTTATCGGACTAGTTTTAGCCTGAATTGGACCGCGATGAACTCTAATTTTAGGATTTTAGACTTTGATGTGTTGCTTCTTTTTAGTTTCAAACTCACCCCAGCCATAAGTTCAATCCTTGTTTTGGAATAGTTGATCGATATATCAATGTGTCCTTGCTGTCGGCGAACTAGTTAACATCACGCGCTTCAAATTTTGTCTAATAATTCTCTATTCAAATTTATAGTTTAAGGGTTTTTGTTTTTTCATGAAATAGTAATGGTTCAAAGTTCAAATTTTCCATTCCTTTCTCATATTAACCTATGATAATTTCAAGACTAAAGTTTACATTTAATGATTAAAAATGTAATGGCAATAGTTGAACTTGCAATTGAACTCGCAGATCTAAAATTCGAATTCAATACCCGCAATACCTTCTTTTATTTCCGGGGACCTCTCTGTAAAAAAAAAAATGTAATGGTAAACTCAACAAAGTTTATGCTGCCATTGTTGGCAAACTCCAACTCTTCCTTTCAACTTTGATACACCACGTGACGAAGGTCATGAAACGCATAGAGTAACTTGGAAGCCAAGGCAAGTGTTTTTGGCTTCGGCAAAAGGAACGGCGAAAGGAGAATCACCGAGAGCCAGAGTGCAGCATACAAGGTGTGATAGCCACCAGTTGCAGGAGAGGAATGCTTTGATGCAGATATATTGGGAGCTTTTGATGTGGCCATTCATTATGGTTTTGATTTGCTGCTGTGTCACTAGGAGGAGATCCCACCGCCTTTTTCTATGACAGCGTTGCAATTGGCTCTTTTCATGCTATCAAGCATGGAATTGTTGTGGTCTACTTAGCTGGCAATTCTGGTCCCGCTGATGGTACCGTCTCCAACATTGCTTCAAGGCAGATCATTCTTGGAGCCAGCACCATGGACAGGGAGTTTCCTAGTATTGTTGTCCTTGGCAAAAATATGCACTACAAGGTTACTTTCCCCTCTCTTCAAGTCTAGTTATTGAAAATGAGAAGGAACTAGAAAGAACATGGAAAATGAGGCCAATTCTAAAGTAAAAGGAAATCGTTCCACATAAGTCAAGATCTGTTGGTCCATAGTGGTACTTTGGTTTCACTTATACCAACTGTTTTAACACTTCAGTTAGTAACATATGTATCTCCGCCTCAGAATGTCTTCTGCAAATACATGCTAATTTGTAAAATCATGCAGATTGTTATGTCAAGTTGGTGCCATTGATCCTAAATGGGAAAGATCTTGGTATATCTTCGAGAGCAGAATGCCAGAGTGGACAAAGGTCAGTAATCAGCTCTGGCTGGTGCAGTTGGTATGATTCTTGCTAATAACATTCTCACAGGGAATGAAATTATTACACTAATAGTCTTGCTGTTTTCACTTAAATTAATTCAACAAAGTATGATTACTAACCAATAAATATTTTATTTTTACCAAGGCATTCAGTGAGCTTATATATAATAATAACATTACAAAAGTTCATTGAGTAAGTATGGATCTGGAACAGAAATCCCACTGCTTATATTACACCTGTAGCCACACAAATTGGAAAAAAGCCAGCCCCCTTCATGGCAGCATTTTCATCTAAGGGACCCAACACCATCACACCCGAGATTTTCAAGGTACTTGCTACAAGTAGCTATATATTTTTACAATTCTTCTGCTAATTTGTATCAGATGCTCAGTATTTAGTATCCCATATTCAGCCTGATATCACTGCACCAGAAGTGGGTGTAATAGCCCTTCCTATACAGAAGCAGGAGGGCCAACAAGTGAAGATTTTAACAAGCGTCGAGTGCAATTTAACTCTATATCGGGCACTTCAAAGTTGTTAGGCTAAAAAGTCGTAATCCAATCAAATCAGCGGAAGCATAATCAAGTATTTAATCAATCACACAAAAATAACAATTTAACGTGATTCGATCTAACTTATTTACATCCACAAATGAGAAAAAAGATCAATTAGTTGTAAAGAACTACAAACATACAAATCAAATCAACTTAACTCAACAATCAATACTCATAAGAGACTCTCAATCTTCTCTAGTCCTATGAAGTATTTTCAATCTAAACAAACACAAATCCTTGTGCATCTTTTCAACACAAATAAATATATACTCATATGTACCCATTCATCATATCTATGTGGACCATCTCAGTTTTCTTTAGTCCACTCACAAATAAACATACACATCCACATCCACATCCATAAGACGTAAATCTTCAGTACTTCTATGAGGTGTCTATCTCACAAAATTTTACAAATTTCTTACATTTTTTTTTCATACCTAACCCTATAAAGACTTCACTTATTTATAACCATACAAATTTGCCCATTAAAAATCAATTTCCTTTTAGAATTCTTCTCCTGCAAGTCAAACTTGCCTATTAAAAATTTTTTTCTCTTAGAATTCTTCTTTTGCAAGTCTTCATGTCCATCAAGCAATATCTGACCAATCCCAAAAAATTTCTAACAAATCCCAAACAAATCTTCTATGAGATTTGAGTCATTATTCCTAACAATATTCACATTGACTCAAATTTCATCAAGTATCTGTCTTCATGCTTGACTCTACCTGTAATGAAAGTCTCACAATCATTTTCTCTTATGTACTTTTACGTTTCATGTAAATCGATCTTCAAAACACAAACTCGAACTTCTTTCTTGAATTGAACTCCTCTAAGTTTGCCTCTTCTCATATCTTAAACCATGCTCTTCTCACATTTGAACCTTCAGCTTTTTTCATATCTCAAACCTTCAACTCTTCTCACGTCTTGAACCTTCGGCTCTAATATCACTTGTTAGGCTAAAAAGTCTCAATCCAATCAAACCAACGGAAGCATAATCAAGCAATTAATTAACCACACAAAAGACAACAATTTAACGTGGTTCGGTTCAATTAACCTACGTCTACGGATGAGAAAAAAAATCCACTAGTTGTAAAGAATTACAAACATATAAATCAAATCATTAACCTCACTCAATAATCAATATTCATAAGACATTCTCAATCTACTCTAGTCTTATGAAGTATTTTCAATCCAAAAAAACATAAATCCTTATGCATCTTTTCAACACAAATAAATACATACTCATATGTACCCATTCATCATATCTATGTGGACCATTTCAATCCTCTCTAATCCACTTACAAATAAACATACACACCTATAAGACGTAAATTCTCAGTACTCTTATGAGATTTTTATCTCACAAAATCCTACAACTCCATTTTTTTTTTCATATTCAACCTTATAGAGACTTCACTTATTTATAACCATGCAAACTTACCCATTAAAAATATATTTTTAAAAATTTTTCTCCTATAAATCAAATTTATTTATTAAAAATCTTTTTTTTAATTTTTTTTATAAATTTTCATATCTATTAAATAATAACTTATCATTCCCAAAAAAATCTCTAACAAATTTTAAATAAATTTTTTATAAAATTTAAATTATTATTCTTAAAAAAAGTGATGCCCTCGTGTTTCAGTCATTGTTGCCCTTCTTGAAAACCTTTATCCTAATTGGAATACTCCAGCAATCAAATCAGCTATTATGATATAACCAGTGAAATATATATATATATATATATATATATATATGTCCTTAAACAAACAACGTTTGGTTTGAGGTTTTTGAATAATCCTCAGTTTTTGTCCCCTTCGTTACAGCAACCACGTGGGATAACCTGAAGGAGCCAATTCTAAAAGCATCAAATATCAAAGCAGGACCATTCAACTGTGCAGCAGGACACATACAACCAAACCTTGCTATGGATCCTGGACTTGTTTATGACTTAGCAGCTATTGATTACCTATACTTTTTATGCACTTTGGGTTGCAGCGAAACGCTAATTTCAATGTTCTCACCGAACCCCTGCAAATGCTCCAAGCCTAATAGTCTTGCCAACTTCAACTACCCTTCAATCACAGTCCCTAACTTTGTTGGATCCATTAGTGACTAGGACTGTTAGAAATATTGGATCACCAGGTACTCACAGAACTCAAGCGCAGAGACCAATTGGAATTTCTGTTTATGTTAACCCAAAAAGATTGAAGTTCAAAAAGGTTGGTGAAGAGAAAACATTCAGTGTTACCCTGAAGGTTAACAAAGCTCATGCAGTTAAGGAATATCTATCTGGGCAGCTTATATGGCCAGACCATGAAAACTTCATGAGGAGTTCTATAGTAGCGAAGGCAGTCTGAAGACTGTCAAAAATTGCTTGAGCTAGCATTAAGTTTTAGTCCTTGGATTAAAACTATGACTTCTACTAGTCAGGCATGGCCTTCATTAATGTGTTCTATATCATTCTTCAAGGCCCTGCTGTTATATTTAACTAAACAATAAAACATCGAAAAAAGAACATGAGCTTAGCTATGTAACTATGGCATCTAACAGATTTAGAATTGAATCCCAACATCTGAAGCCCTTTTGAAAACCAATTAGATGAATAAGACCTTTGCCTCTCTTCTTTCTTTCTAATGCTGATATTAGACTATATAACCAGGTTTCGGTAACATCAATAAACTGAATAAAGAGAGTTTGATTATACTTAAATATGATTAATTCATATATATATATGAAAATTGACAAAGAGAGGAAAACACTACATATGTATATATATCATATGTTACAACTTTATATAAAATTTACTAACATGGATTAAAAACATGAGCAATATGATTCTCAGCCTTCATTCAGAAGGAAGCCCTACATAGTAGTTTCAGAACATGGGTCCACATTTAGAACTAGTCCTCTTTGAAATTCTACATATGGATATGCAATGGGCTGATCCTCATCTTCTGTTTTCCACCTACAAAATTTTGGACCAAACCACCATGTTAGGTACAAAAATATGTACCACCTGAAGTTAATTGGGAATTTACAGTAATGTTGATTTTACTGGATATGTAAGAAATTACCTGAAGTTTTGAACAAGGTGGTGGAGGAAGAAAGCAACCTCAACCTTAGCTAGGTCAGATCCAGGACAGCATCTTGACCCACCTCCAAAGGGTGTAAATTTCTTGCCTGCGGGATCCTGGCTCTGTATCAAACATGGAAAATCATCTTTTATAACATGTCAAACATATTGTTTTTCATTTAATCATTTTTTAAGCAATAAACAGATTACAAAATCATATGATGTCTTCATTTCAAGTCAAACTACTAGACCAATTCAATTTGGAATCAGTATTCAAGGGGTGTGATTTGTATTTGCATTCAAAATCTAAATCCTTTGTTTTGGGAAGTGATTGGGATGTGGATCAAATCCACTTGAAATTCTAAAAGGTTAAAATCTTATAAGAGTTCTTAAATTCAAGATCTAAAAAAAATTAGGATTCCAGCTTCTAGATTTATCCGAACTTCAAGAATTTTAAATTAAAAATTTTGAAGTCAACACTTAAAGTTTTTGAAACGCAATAAAAATATTTCTTTATTTTCTTTTAGATATTTAAAAAAAAATTTTGATTTCCAAAAGCTGTTCAATCTAGGGAAGCTGAACTTTAATCCCCTGTAAGGTATGTTAGGTCCAGTGTACCCTTTTCTTTCATGGACAGAAGGTACAATGAAAAGGCTATATCATAATCTAACAAATGGTGCATATCTCCCAACTTGAGATGAAAAATCATCACCTTGTCCTACAATATATAAGGTCCCCCACCTCCAATTTCAACAAAATAATGCTACCAAGAGATTAAAATTTCCAACAGAGATGGCCCCAGTTGCATTAATTTCAAGAATTAAAGAAATAGAAAATAAAATTAAAAATAGATTATAAAAAAAATATAAATCAACTTTGTTTTCTTTGAAACTAGTCTACCATCTATGTTATTATTATTGTCATTTTAATTAGTATTTTTCTATAGGGGAATGATTACAAATGATGACTTTTACATTTTCACTAAAGATTTTTGGAGGATCCTAAAGTCCCAATTGTTAAATTCTTTTTTTTTTTTCAAAGCATGAAAGTTCAAATTAAATAACTTCAAACAGAGGATGATTTTTCAGTGAAAAATGGGGTACATGGCCCCCTTTAGCCATAACTTAGATCGAGCCATGATGCCCAATTTTAGGACATGAGTCCTAGAAGATTGTTGAGGTGGATGATGAGTGATTACCTCCCATCTCCATGGATGAAACTGGAGAGCATTTGCATGGAGAGATGGGTCTAAATGAACTGCAGTGAAAACAGGTAGGACCTTCCAGCCAGATGGAATTAGGTAACCTGATCAAAGCAGAAGTTAATGCAAATAAAAACTGTTTCTTATTTCATACAGATAATAAAGTATATATTAATATCCAAAAGCTCATGCACTGCATGATTATATTGAAACATATGCATATTGTTATTTCAAAGCTAATAATATTAATATTTAAAAAAAAAAGACCTCTAAATGTGACATCTTTGAGAGCCTTTCGGTGCACGAATTTGACAATGTTGCCATATCTGAGAGCTTCATTGATGACCTACAAACATGAAAACAAAAAAGGAAGAAGCATGCAGAGAGAAGAAAAGTTTTTAAAAAATCACATCATTATTGCCTACATGCTATGGAAAAAAAAAAGGCGTATCAGAAGAAAATTGTTTTTTATGGCGTGTTAGATTAGAGGAAAAGTTGTGTTATTAAAAGTAATGAAAAGAAAATAGTATAAAAGAAAGAATTTTCTCTTACATTTTGAGTGAAATCCATTTTCTTATAATCTTCCCAATCCAAATGATCACCTTTGTGCTTCATGCTCCTTATTTTCTGATGTTCTTGCTGCACATAGTAGTATTAATTTTTATAAGAGTGCATGAAATTAACGGAGGGCATGAGATTGGAAAAAATTAAGGGTGGGGTTACCTTTAACTGTTGTAATGCAGTTGGGGAGTGGCTCAGGAATTGAACCACCAACGTCATTAGAAGGGAAGTAGTTTCATAGCCACCCAATAGAGAATCCAAAACAAAACTTACTTTTTCATCATCAGATAAGGCATCAACAGATAGAAGGATTTCAAGGAAATCACTCCTTTTTTAGAATTCTCATCATCAGGATTTCTTCTTCTTTCCTCTATAATTGCTTTGACAGTAGAAGATATTCTGCTTCTAGCCTGTAAAGATAGTCAAAGTAAAGTTGATCATATGCTTTCCTTTTGCAACAAAAGAAAAGGAAAGAGAGCTAACTCTTTAAAATGATTAAACCACAATAATAATAATAATATATTGTCCCATCAATTAATTAATAAACAATTAATTAGAGAAGAAGATCAAGCTTTTGAGTACCTGAACAGCTCTTGCATATGGGGTTCCAGGAATATAAAGTGGGAGAGAGATAAGTCCTCTCATAAAAGTGAGAAAATCTTCAAGAATTTTTGAAGTTTCTGGCTCCTGTGGTGTCAAGCCTAGCACTTGCTTTACTATTACATTGAATGTGAACTGTGGAACCAAAAGTTGACAAAGAAAGAAAAAAGGAAAGAAACTTTACCTCAGAATATGGTTGGATTCTTTATCACTTTTTTTTTGTTTTGCAAGAATGTTTTTGTTTTGATTAAAATTAATAGTAGTACCTTTCTAGCCTCTTCACAGAAGATAACTTCCGGTTTATTTTTCCACGAGTCCAGTATCTGAATGGTTATCCTTTCAATGTCATTGAGGAACTCAGGCTTTGATTTGGTAATGGTGACCAAAGAGAGGGCCACATTTCTGAGCCTCTTGTGAGTGTCACCTACTGCCACCAGCATGGAAACCTTGCCAAGAATGCCATGGATAGGCTTTGGGTAACTGCACTTGAACAGCTTGCCTTCATTTTGAAGTATGAAATAGTTCAGCTCTGGGTCACACGACACCACAGTTGGGGAGAAGAACAAATGGGATTTGAACACTTTCCCATATCTGAAATTTCAATAACAATTCTCATTTTGATTAGTTGACCATTTATATCATTATTACCAAATTTTCCTCTTCTTTATTCTTCTTTTTTGGTTGAATAATGATACTCATTCCCAGATAACTGAAAAATAACAAATAAACAAAAAATAATATGCTTACAGGAAACTGATCATCACAGCTGGAAGAGTGAAATCAACATCAAGAAATACAAAGCATATATATATCTTAACATATACTGTATACTTATATATATATCTTAATATATACTGCATGCTTACCTAGAACAATGGTCTTGAAGAAATGCCCCCACAGAATTGGAAGAGTGAGGCTTTAAGAAACTAAACGTTTCACCAAGTAAAGGCCATCCAAAAGTCCCCTTGGGGACAAGGCCACCCTTGAAGAACAAGGGCAAGAAATGGTTCAAGACAAGACTCAGCAAAATACCAAGAACCCCTCCAACCAAAACAACAAGCCAAAAAGAACCTTCGGCCATTGACAAAAGGTTATCAAATTCGCACCCTTTATGCTTGCTATACAAATGTAAAAAGAAAAAACAACGAGTGATAAAAAATTTGAGACTTCCCTGAAACCAAATGTTCAGCCTACAAGTCCTATTTATAAAGAGAGAGGCGTAGTATATTTTTATTTTTAGTTAAAAACTCGGGAAAAAGCGAACAGGCTTTTCCACAGGTTGTTACTGTTGCTGAATTACTTTTTCAGAGGTAAGACGTAGGAAATGGAATACTTTTATCTAGCTAGGATCTAGACATCAGTACGACTCATAGGGTTGCAGAAGAGCTAGAGATGAATAGTGAATAAATGAATATTTATTTACTTGTTTTTATTCTTTTTAATACTTTGGAGAAAAAGGTTTGATTTAGAAAATATTCTTTACTCAAAAAGAAAATTGTCGTTCGTTAATAAATTAGATGCCAAAGAAAAGAATCAAGTTTGGGGGGTTTTCCTTTGATTTTGGCTCATGTGTTATTCATCTCATCATATGCACTTGATTGCCATGGAGTTTTCAAGCAACAATAATTTCAAGTTCATCTCGAGTGTTACTAATACTTGACTCAAGTTCATAAAATCCATGGAATTATTATTTCTTAAAATTTTCAAATATATTGGAATGAAAAATATGCTCTTTATTTATATAAAAATTCTTGCTATATTAAAAATATATAATACTAATGAAATTTTTGTTTAATTGAAAAAATTAGTTCTTAAACATTAACTCTCATTACATCTTAGTTTTATTTTAAATTTGTTATGTGTAATTTGCTAGTCAATAAAATCAACTGTTATATTCATCAAATCAACATATGTTATCGTCATAGAAGATCAATGCTCAAATTCTTCGTCCCTTGTGCAAGCTTGTTCTAGAGTTGTTCGTCTATCAATTCTTTTTCATCTATAGGGATAATTTGTCTAATTATCTTTATTAACATTAAATGTAATCCAATTCAATTCACGTGAATTTTTTTTAATTTTACGTAAATTTTTCATCAGCTGTCACCTACTCAAATGTCACCATCCTATGTCTTTTATATAAGGTAAAAGAAGGTCCATCTACACTATTCACAACCCTTCATCCTTAAGATTCCTTTATATTCATCTTCTTTTTCCTTCACCCTAATCTTTTACACTTCGCTGACTTGAGTGTGAATAGCATACCTCAGAAGTATATTGCAACGCCATTTGATCGTACTTTAATTTCTTGTTGCAGATTCGAAACACTTCCAGCTTACCCTCCAACTCACTATCGAACTAACCTTTATCCAAAACACCGTCAACAGAATTTATCTAGTTATATGTTGGAATGGTTCATTTTTTGTTTATTCATTTGATTTAATTAATTAATTTATATATATATATATAATATTTGAATATGATTATACTTTTTTGTTTCAAGAATCTTTACTCCTTTCTTAAAATTTGAAAATAGAAAATCTCTAAATTGAAAATTTTTAAATATTCAAATTACATATATTATAGTGTTTTTTTTTTCACAATGCTTTGTAAATTTTTAAAAAGTGTGTTTGATCCAATTTTGTATTGATTTGTTTTTAATTAGTTTGTTTATTGATTTCTTTTAGATAAATGTATTTTTTTATGCGAGGGAATAAAGATGAAAATAATAAAATTTGAATTCTCATTTTATATGTTTTTATAATTTTTTTTAATCATTAAATAAAAAATGAAAATGATAAATGTATTATTTGAATATATATTAAAAGTTATTTGATGATTATTATAATAAGAACTTCTACTAGTAATACCTAAGCAGAAAAAAAAACTATTTGATTATTATTTGAATATATATTAAAAGTTATTTGATTATTATTATAATAAGAACTTCTATTAGTAATACCTAAGCTCGTAAAAAAACTATAATAACAATTAGTGCTTAAGATTGCAGTATAAAAAAATTCTGAACTCGAATTATGGAATGAAAGAAGTGAGACTAGTGGAAGACACAAGAGTAGTGTCAAAAACATGTACACATAGTAATGTTTCAATTCACAGGATTTATGGAGTGAATGTGTCAAACACCTTGTGGTTATGCCAACATATGAAATATGTGTTATGTCCTTAAACTAACGGAAACTTCTTGGTCAACCTTCTAAAAAGCTTAAAACTTTAACAGGCAATCTGAATAGTAATATCATAATTCCGAATTAATTTACACAAAAAGAACTATTAGATACTAACTATTAAGGCTATAAATGAATTGAACATCAACAAATAAATATATGTTCGTAATTTGTTCATTTATTTTTAGAGTTGTTTGAGCTCAGTTTATGTTCGATAAGAAATTTATTAATTATGTTCAGCTTGGTTTGTTTAAATGATAGGATATTCACATTCGTTTAAGTTAAACGAGTTTATTCGTGAATATTAAATGAATATGTTCACGAATATATATATATATATATAAACGAATATATTCATGAATATATTATAAATTATGTTCATAACCAATAATCAAACTCAAACCAAACAAATAAATAAACAAACAAACAATTAATTATAAATTATAAAATCTTATATAAAAATGAAATTAAGAAAACTTACAAAAAAAACTATAACCCAGTACACTTGTGAGACATGGTGAACTATACTGTAAATGTGACTGTCCAACAACTTTCAAAAATTAAGTGATCTTAATCAAAGAATATATCTTACAAAAATTAAGTGATCTTAACTACACAAAATCATCCAGCAACTTTCACACTAGAAAAATCAATCAAAGAACCAAAAGATCTCTAATTATCACGAAGGCATTCCATTAGCCTTGTAAATTATGCTAAATTTTAACATTGGCAATTTCAACTAGTAAACCATCAATTTCAATAAAAATACTATTCAGTCCTCAATCTTTAACAACTTAAATTTAACATCTTCATTCTTTAATTGTTAATCAAGAGCTACATAATTTGAAACCCATAAAACAAAAAGTATCATTACAACTTCAATAAGCTTTACACAGCCATACTACCTCCATAATTCTTGCTACTAGCTAGTGCATGGAAAAAACATCTAGAACTAAAAAAAGTTCTTCCATAAAACTCCAAGATACCACACGAGAATTTTGTTTCACCAAAAATGAAAAATGTAAATGGTATAAATAAACTAAAGAACTAAATGTAAATTTTAAGTTGTTAAAAATATTTGCTTTTAGAAGTTAACATTAAATAACCTTCAAAGTTCTTGAAACTTCAAAATAGTGGAATCTTTTTAACTTCTACTTTAGCCTATATAAAAAATTACTATTAAATGAAAAACCATTATAAAATTCTAAATATATAACAAATAAAAAGAACATGAAAGTTACTTACCTTTTTCTTTGCTTTTAATATCATAGAAGTTTCAATACCAGTCATTGCCACAAAACAGCATTTGCACTGTATTAGTTCCTAAAGATGAACAATATGCATCAATAACTTTACCATCAACACTAAAAGTTGATTCTGAAGCCACTGTGGTAATGTGAATAGATAAAATTTCACAAGCCATTTTGGATAAAATTTGAAATTTAAAGTTATTTGCCTTTCACCACTTTAAAGCATCAAATTCCCTAAAATTTTCTTGCAAATGAACACCTTTTTTTCCAAATATGTATCTAGTTCAACTTTAAAATTATGAATTGTATCCATACTCTTAACATAATTCTCATACTTAGACCTCCATGTTAAAAGAGTTTTTTCCTTCCTAATTCTATAAGTTGCAGAAACATTAGTGGTAATACCATTTTCTTGTGCATCATTTTCCATAGGTGAACCAACTTTAGTTGCTGTATAAGTATTTACATATTCCTTATAAAGCTCATATAAGCTGTTATGCATAATTCTAATATGTCTAGGAGCTTCTCTCTATAATAGATAACATGAAAGGTAAAGTCAATCAATGTCATCTTATTCCTATGATCTAGCACAGCAACAATAAAGATCAATAAATTGCATTCACCCCAATATTTATCAAATTTATTTAGCATTTGTATAGCCATTAGTCTCATCCAAGGTTTTTCACTCATAGATTTCTCATCCGACAATTCTTTTATACTCTGGAGCTTAAGAGGAAATCAATTTGATATTAGATATTCAGAACCTAATAATTATAAAAGAAATAAATATTCAAATTGAATGACATAAATTATAACATAAATGAAAAAGAAAACTTTTAAACTTGAAATATCAAATGTTTATTGCCTAAGATAATGTTGGTAACTTTATTAAAAATATGCTAAAATGGAACAAACTTCCCCAACTCTCACCCAATCTTCATCAGTTGGCAAGTTGGAGTAACTTGAATTTTTACTTTATATCGTGGAAATGCTTCTTTGAACTTTAATGTGCATGATGACATAGCATATATTGCATTCCACTATGTGCAATAGTTTAAAATCAACATCTTGCTAGGTAACTAAGCTATTTGACAATATCACTGAACATATTCAAAAGTAGAGTCAATGTTGTGATGTGATTCATATTTTTCCTTACATTTTTAACTATGTCTTCAATCGTAAAAAGATCATCATGCATCAAAAAATTTAAAATGTGCACACATGCCAAACATGAAATAATTTTTCATATAAAGGAAGCCTTTTATGAAAAGAAAGACTATTTTTCAACATTTTTATGGCAAAATCATCGTAATAAGCATTATCTACACTAATCGTGCACACTTTTTTTCAATACCTCATTCTTACAAGCATTTGTATAGCGCATCCTAAATGATAACTCCATTATAAGGAAGAGGTACATCAACAAAGTTCAAAACTTTTTTTTTTTGTAACTTCTAATCAGAGTCCACAAAACGAGCAATCAATACCATGTATTGAATTTTCTAACCCAACTTTCATATGTCAATCGTAATGCTAATTCTATCACCTATTTTCAGTAATGCATTTAACCTCTTCTTTTTTACTTCATAACTTGTCCAATAATCAGCTATGGTTATTACACGATAGATTTTTTTTATAGTGAAGACTTGCAGTCTTTATCAATAAAATGAAAAGCTCATATCCAATAAATGCAAATAGCAA